GTGTGTGCGGAAGAATAATATTAATCGTGTTTTTCAATGTGACATACACTTGACATATTTTGAAAAAAAAAGGAGACATATGTTACCGCGGTCTATACCATGATGATAACGCTTGGCAGTATATAAGAATTATATCATGGTGATATGGAGTGTACCATGGTGGTATGAATATATCAAAGTGTAAAATGATTGTATACATGATAATATGAATATACTAACCATCGTTTAATACCTTTCATTATCGTCTACCATCAATTACCACCACCATATAGAATATTTTAATCTTACTCCTCTTAAAATCAAGAGGTCGGATCTAGTTTTGCATTTGTGCGTAACACTAAGTTATGCACCGGAACCTGGACCATAAAGCAATTGTATAGGTCAATTTTTTTGCAGGAAGACATCATCTACTACTGCCAAGAGGTTCACCAACTAGGGTTTCGATTGAAGAACTAGTCCAATAGTGAATGATATATTAGAATTAAGGACCGGACCAATAGTGCTAAGCAAAAATTATATACGTTAGAATTTTTTGAAAGGTGGTTAGACATTTCTGCTAGGGTTGTCTGCTAAGCATATATGCGCTTCTACTTGTACATGTTGATGTGGGTTGGTTGGTTGTTCTGGCCCACTGTTAGCTCATGTTGATGTGGGTTAAGAGACTAGTTAGTTGGGTTTCAAGCCCTTATAAATTGAAGGTGTGGAGTGTATTCCAGTTCTATTTTGGGTTATTAATTGTTGAACTGCGGGCAGAATCCCTCATTTTTGTCGAGAAAAATAATAATAATAGATATAAAGTTCAACGTACACGAGTTATAAATTAAAGTTCAACTAACACATATATTATCAGTCTATATCATGTTAGTAATGTCTTGTACTATATAAGATTATATCATTGTGATATGGAATGTACAATGGTGGTAGAATATATCATAATGTAAAAGCATTGTATACACATGATAGTAAAAATATACAAGTCGCAATTTATCACATTTCATCATCGTCTACCAGTAATTACTATCCTGTAACATGGTGATATATGGCATATTTGGTGCTGTTTTTTTAGTAAAAAAATATAAGTAGATCCAATAAATCATGACGATGAACTCGTTCACCCTGTGAAAAACTTGAGTGAAAACGAAGGTAGTACAAAATTCAAGTGATACCAGGTGGTATAAAAATTTATTTTTAGAAGTATATTGTATATCATTGAAAGAGTACAACCAACCCTTTTCACATAAGTAACTTTTTTTAAAATTAATATAAAACAAAAATATATATAAATTGATTCAAAATGAAAAATAAACATCATTATATTCGATTCGCGGTATGCTCTGAGTTTGGTTTAAGAGCCATTATGATCTGATATGCAGTCTGATACAGACCAGATTGTTGCACACCCCTCTACCTATTAACAACATTTACCATATATATGATCACCTATTCAATTTCCATGAACCACGGTTTCGATTGGTCGAACTTAAATGAAATGTGGTATCTTTCTTTAAGAACTTCGACTAGTTTTCCGAACATACAAAGCATATTCCCAACATTCACTGGGAAGGAAAACTACTCGTGAGGCGAACCTTAAGAAAACAGAAACACCAACCAGAGAATCACCATAAGACATGCCAGAGAAAACATGAAAAAAACGGCCGACCAACCGGCGATTATTATATTATTATAGAGTCGACTGAAAAAAAATAAAAGGAGGAGGAGAAAACACCGCGCGATGAATCGTCTTCTTCAGTTTGATAAATATAGGTTTAAATGGGACACAAGCAATCACAGTCATTGATCTCGCAAACGCAACCCACGTAGCAGCTACTATCACGTTGACGCCAACACAGCCATGGGTAGTAAAAATGACATTGATGGTCGTTGCAAACGTTGTTGCAGTCTTCCTGTATCGAAGCCGTGTTGTTCTTCTTCTTGTTGTTGTTCGATGCTCGAGGTATCAACGACGCCGTCTGGTGGTTGCTGTGTGATTGACTGATTGATGAGATTGCGTGAGAATTTCGGATCAGATGATTGATGAGATTGTACGCGCGCGAGAAATTAAGTTCGCAAATGTGCAATGAAAAAAATAATACGATTTTTCGCTAAATTTTTTGATTGATGAACTTGCGTGCAGCGAAACAACAGGAATACGTACGCGTGTATCATAAATATATATATATATATATTGTATTGCCAATTAATCACCGAAAACTAATATTATAAATTTAATTCATTAAATACCGGTACTAAACATGTTATACGAGTTATATATGTGAGTACAACTGGAGCCATGAAATAGACATAGGAAGAAATAAAACGACATAACAATGATACGACAACAAAAATTTTAAACGCATAGAATACGTACGTTCATAAACACGTGCGTATCACGATTAACCATCGATCTGTATATAATTAGCTAAATCTTTTGTAGCAACACTAAATTAAGGAAGGAGAAGGATACGACCTGCTGTTGGTACCCAGGGCCGGCCTAGAGGGTGTGCTGGCCCGCCCTCCGGCACAGGGCCTCCGAATATTAGGGTCCTCCACTTAGATCCGTTAGTTACCGATCGTACATTGTAGATTATATTTTTAGTATATGATTGATTGATTATGAGTATGATGACGATTTTAATAGATAATTTTAGCTATAATAACAATTAAAAATGATATCATGAAGACTACGAAAATAAGAAAGATAATAGATAATTTTATGGGTAACGTCTATTTTTTATCCAGACCTTTTTCAGATTCTTTTATAATATCCAAACCTATCGAAATACTAAAAATTAGTCCAATGTTAACTTTCGGATAGCATTTTTGTTAGTAATATTGACTTGACAACATGATACTGACTTGGAAGAGACACATGAAGGTCAAGATTCCAAAATTTTAGTATTTTAACTAAGAAAAGAGTTACAGAATTATTAACAATAACGTAAAAATGACTAATATTTTGGTGCATTATGAAAAAATTGGCTAATTAATAAATTTTTAATAGGTTTGGATAATATAAAAGAATCTGAAAAAGGTTTGGATAAAAAATAGACATTACTCTAATTTTATTTTAAGCTATGTAGAAAGATATTACAGTCATTTTAGTTTTATTATAGTTAAAAGTCAATTTAGACCACGTCTCAATTTTGGAACAAGGCCCCCACGAAGCATTAGACAGCCCTGGGAATTTGGTTTTGGTTTCTTCGTCAAACTAGAAAGGTGATCATTTATTTCTTTTGTAATCATTTTCTGAGACTATGTATTTTTTTATAATTATTTAATAAATTTTATTTTTAATAAATTTGTGGAGAAAAATTTTAGGGCCACATTTTAAATTTTCGAACAGGGCCTCCGAATATCATGGGACGGCCCTGTTGGTACCGCCGACGGAGGCTTTAACTACCGAAGCCATCCGATCGGCCGGAGTATCATCATCATTCCCGCCGGCCGCCGACGAACTAGTAGTAGTTACCGCCGGCAGTACCCTCGATGCGGTTGCTGCAGGAAAAACAAAATAAACGATCATCAGCAGCAAGACGGCCAACTTAGCAACGGTGTAGCTGGGGATCGCCATGGCTACTTTATTTATCTGATGTTTCTTTGGAAAGCTCGATCGTTGCTATAGGTATATATATATATATTGTGTGCAGATCTGTGGTATATAATAGACGTGGATTCCCAGTTTCGCTTCCTGGTTAAAAACAGTTTAGCGGTTTAATTTGTGCTGTTTAAGGTCGGCCTTGTTGCAGGGCCAATGCATTTTGGTAGTACCGTAGCGTTTTGTGCTTTTGACGCACGTGGTTAAGTATCATATATTGGGTTTTCCTAACAGTTCGAGTTATTGAGACCAGTTGCTTTATGACATGGTGTCGGAGTCTGGTTTTGTCCCTGAGATCATGTGTTCAAATCGCTCACGATACCCAATATTAACTGCATGTCTTCAAAGAACATGGTATGGCGCCGGGCTTTTGCAAATTTTAAGCACATGTAAAATTTGTAATTAGCCAATTACTACGAAAATTTGGATGGTCTTAGCTGCTTTTTGTCTTCTTGTTTGTTTTGAATTTTTTGCAAGTTGGTTAATTAGGTATACTTAGCACAGATGTTGATAAGCACAATTTCTGCTAGGGCTGGCTGCTAAGCATATATGTGCTTTTTATTTATACAAATTAACTGGGGTATGTGGTATGAACGGTAATAAAAAAAAATGACTAATATTTAACAAATTATTAACGGTAATAAAAAAAATGACTAATATTTTTATATATTACAAAAAAATGGTTATATCAATAATTAAATAGGTTTTGTCAATATAAAAGAATGCAAAAAAAAGGTTTGAAAAATAATTAGTAATCACCTTTTTTTTAATGACTATTCATTATGACTGATTGTTTCCTTGTCATTATCAACTGTCAGTCTCTTATCTCCAAACTCAGAAATGATTAGATTTAGGAGGATGAGGAATGACCAAGGATCAGTCCCCGGGGTTAGTTGGGCTTTTGTCCCTCGGTCCGCAAATTAGGCGGCCCAATGTTTAGCCCATTTTGATGTGGGTTGGGAAACTAGTTGGTTGGCTTTTCCGGACCCTTACGTAAACCTTCTGTTAAAAGGCCTCTATAGACCTTTGAGCCAATAATTTTTTATTTTTTTTTTATCCAAGATAAGCCATCAGGGTATGGCCGAACAACAACAATATAAATAGAAAATAATAAAGAACGGTCGTCTGTATGCAACCGGACTCTCGATGAAAGAGCCTGTTATGCCACGAGGTGGGCAGCTCTATAAAAACTCCAAGGAGCAAAAAGACACGAATAAAGATATTATAGGTGGTGCAGATTTCGGTGAAGATATTATAATTTTTTTTTAAAATAAAGATATTATAGTTGAAGGTGTGGACTGTGGTAAATGTATTCCGGATTTAATTTGTTTTTATGGAAAAAATCACTCTATATTACCGAGGAACATAATAATAATAATAATAATAATAAATATCAAATTCAACGTACAATTCCTCGTTGTAGGCTTGCAACTACTAGCTAGTGGCCACATCTTGACAGTTGAAATATCATTGTAACTTGTAAGGAAACCGGTTGAGTTAATTAGTTGATTCAAATATATAACTCTGCATTTCACTCACCAAACAAGTTTACCATTATTTTTGCTGCATTGCCCTTTTTTTATACCGTTTTACTCTTCAATTCACTCTATCTTCCATTTTTACCTAATCGTGGAGAGGTGAAAGTAGAAGAAACAACATCAATCAAATTCACATAACAGAACACCCAAAGACACAAGACAGAGACGAAACGACTGAGAATATATCAATGTGGCCGGAGATTCGATCCGATCTACGCTGCAGTCTTGAGGAACTCCATGACATAGGTGTTGAAAGCAGAGCAGAGCACCCTGAAGCCCTTGAATCCGGCCCCCTTGCACAGCGACTCGAACTCCGACTGCGTCCTCTCTTTCCCGCCCGGGTTGTGCGCCAACATGATGCAGTCGATGTGCACCACGTTCTTCGTCGCCAGGCTCGAGTCCGGCGCCACCGGGAGGATGCACTCGCACACGATCACTTTCCCGTTCGCCGGCAGCGCCTCGTAGCAGTTCTTCAGGAACCTCAGGCAGTGCTCGTCGCTCCAATCATGGCATATCCACTGCAACCAACCACACCAGTTAACTTCCAATCTTCTATACACCAAGTCTCAATAATTAATAAGCTAATGGACCACAATGTAGAAAACAAACAATGGGTGGTAGGTAAGACAATGACAAGTGACCAACTTAAGGTGCGTTGGTTGAAGAAAACCTTCAACCAGAAGTTGGGTTTTCATCAATCATCACAGTTTTAGTCCAACTATCCGCTAATGGTATAAAGATTAAATGAGTTACTGTAACAAACTGATTCTCAACGCTAAGAACACATCCAGATCGAACTACTTGTTATGTATATAGTTGTCTACATAATGTGTCATTTTACCCGTTTTCGCATCTCTCGAAGAACAGCAGGCACTGAATTCATTAGTGTGTGTTACTACCTTCATGAAAATGGCGTCACCGGAGGGGACGCTGGCGAACATGTCGCCGCCAACGTGCTGGACGCCAGGCAGCGGAGGGGCGTCCTCGATGACGTGTGGGAGGTCGAAGTTGATCCCCTTGATGGAAGGGTGCTTGGAGAGGATCATGCTGAGGACAGCTCCGGTGCCACCACCAACATCGACCAGCGATTTCAGGCCGTCGAAACCGGTGTACGACTCCAAGAGCTTCTTCATGGTGATGGTGGAGTGATCGGACATGCCCTTGTTGAACACCTTGTTGAATCTCGGGTCGGTCCCGTGGTACTCGAATGCTGTCATCCCGTATGCCTTGTTGAACGGGATCCCTCCATCCAATACAGCATCTTTCAAGTGATACCTGCACCAATGCAACAATCCAACCCCCAAACAATCAAAACGAGCGATTCAAACATGCGATTCGAGCATATAATCATGTCGATATGGTCATGATCAAAGATTGCTGCTGCTAAATCCATCCACAATTTGGGGTCATCGAAGATTGCTACTGCTAAATCCATCCACAATCTGAGCAGAAATGGTAGGCAACTGTTTGAATTGAATCCACAGGAGCCCAATGACAGAGCCTACACAATTAGTTACTAGCTAGTTCTACAATGAATCAAGCAATGGGAACTAGTACCACGATCAATTTTCGAACTATTGATTGATGAGCAGAAACTCCGATCTTGAACAGACAAGCTAATCAAACCCTAGTTGTGAATCAATCGAATTCAGAATCAGGGGGAAAACTCAATTAAATTACCAGCTCTCCATGAGGACCTTGTCCTGGTTCATGAGTGCGAGCGCGGCGATGGAGACGCCGTCCTCGTTCTTGGTGAGGAACTTGCAGACTGGGGCGGCGCCGTAGAGGCGCTGAACGGTGCCGTCGGGGAGTGTGCGGAGGGAGCAAGTGAGGACGGAGTAGGAGGCGAGGAGTCGGCAGATGCGGTCGAGCATATCGGGAGCTTCTGGGTTCTTGGTGGGGAGCTGGGCGGCGATTTCGGCGGGGGAAAGGGAAGCACCGGGGCCGGATTTGACAATGATCTCGAGGAGGTCGAGCTCGAGCGCCGATTTGAGCACCATGGGGAGGACGGAGGCGCTGGCGAGCTGCATCGCGAACAGGTTGGCTTCCTCGTCGGAGACCTGGGTCGGTGTCATCTGGGTTTCCGCCGACGAACCCATTTTTCTTTTCGAGTTCCGGTGAAGGATAAAGGAATCGGGTAGTCGGAAGTTGGGAGAGAGTTGGTGGTGGTGGTGGTGGAAGATTGGTGGAGGAATGGCAGAGCTTTATATGGAGTGGAAGAGGTGGCTATGGCGGTGGGTCCCGCCGGAGCTTGTTTCTATTTCTCAACAACCGCGCGCTCTCTCAGTCTCTCTCTCACTCTGTTGCTCTGTGTTTACTGGTCACTGCTACCGCTAAATGCGACCGTTGACCTTTCTCTGTACCTTATCGTCATTAAATTTTTTTTTCCTTCCTATTCGAACCAAGATTAACAATTTAAAAATAATTACTTTCCCCGATTTTTTTTATTCTATAAGAAAAAGGAAACATGTGGAAGCCGACAAGTGGCTCCATTACAAAAATAGATGATGAGTCCGTCAGTCTACATTTAAAAATAATTAAATACGGTTAAAATTAAAAAAATTGTGTGCCCTATAAATTAAGACGAGGTCTTGTTTTCTTATGTTTATATTAGTTTTTTAAAAAAAAATCCTTCTCTCACATCCAGCACCCAAGTGTTGTGATGAGATTTGAATGCGAGATTAGTCTATGAATCAAAGAAGATACACGACGGTATGATACACTATTCAAATGTTCTAATTAATATCGGAATTGAGACACTAAAAAGATATAATTGTAACTTGTTTTAAACTACACTGTAGTTCAATTACTTTCTGTGACGGCTTCAACGGATCAGCAACATGTCATTCTAGTCCAGGCATTTCGGTAAACTTTAGAATAGAGACTCGGGGTCTCGAAATACTCATATCAACAGGGAGGCAAACTTTTTGACCAATTATTTCGGTTTTGTAATCTATTCGATTAATTAATTTGAGATAGTGATGCTTTGAATACATCTTCGAGAAAAACAGAAGATTTTCATAGATGCATACTGATATAATCTAACACATTTTCATGTTTTAATAGGGAGACATCATAACATTCTTCGCAATTTGGATGTAAGAATTGATATTCTCTGGAAAAAATGTAGAAGTTTTGATTTATATTGGACGTTTTGAGAAATTTCCCTTAGTGAGTATGATGGTGGAAGATTAGGCTTATGCTTTTTGAAACCTAAAATGTGATGGATGTTATTATACTTATCGAGCCCATGAGATAATACGTTTAGCTTGTCGAGCAACCCGTAAGGTAGATTAAGTTTTATGCTTTTTCTGGTGTTATTCTTTTAAACATTTATGGCCATTAAAGTTCTCATAGTTAATCCTAAATGATGGTTTCCTTCGATTCTTATGTAAGTATGATAGATTTGATACATTTTACTTGTTGATGTGACTTGAATCGGACTATCAGTCGCTAGACCCACATGGAGAAGTACTATAAATACTTCTCATACTCCTCTATAATCTGTAATCTTCTCGATATAGTGAAACTGGCTCTCTCTCGCCCGTGGACGTAGCTAACACACATCGTGTTAGTGAACCACGTAAATCGTGTGTCTGTGTTTTTCAATTCTCGCTTTCGTATTCTTACTTTATCGATTCCGGCGATTTCCCGATCCGTAGCAGCGCGTTTATAACATTACTATTTTTAATTCAATGAAAAATTAGAAGCATGTTTATTTAGTCAATTATTTGGTCGACTTCCCACTCTCTGCAGACCAGATCAGAAATTCCACTATCCGGAACATGTCAAGTATTCGAGGGAGCTGGCTTTGGAATTTCAGTCACTACTTTTATAAAAATATATATGTTCAATAGCATAATTTAAGGGAAACAAGATGTATATAATAACATGTTTAATGTAAAATTATGACTTGAGAGGTAATGGGTAGTAGACTAGAGGAACTGACGAACCATATGGGAACTAATAAAAAATATTAGACCATTGGCACTGAGCCGTTTCAACGTCTACATGACAATGAGTTTGTTTAACAACGGTATATACTAAATTACTAATGAGTTCGATGGATGACTTGACTTGCAACATTGTGTTTTTTCTTTCGGCACTAAAAAAGAATACGATATCATCTGATCTCTTAATCATAAGTGATGTAGATCAATATTGTGTTTTTTATTTATATTTTTTTCGTGTTCTCGTAACAAATTCCGAATGAGACTGGACAACTCATTGCTGCAATTGCTTCAATTTCAGTTAAGTAATATATGATTACTCGCCTTAAAATTAAATTAAAAGGAAAAGCTTTTGAACCAAATGGTACTGACTTGATCAACCCTGAAAGAAGGAACTTAAATTTTTAAATTTATGTGTATGTAACTATGTATGGAATTACTAATTAATACTATTCGACTGGCCTAAATAGAGTTTTAGCCTAAAAGGAGAGAAATCAAATCCTCACCAACCGCGGACTTATAGTTTGGTAAGGGATGGGTATGCCCGATTGCTAATCCCATAGGCCATAGCGATTAGCGACGTTCTATGACCTTTGATTCGGTCAATTAATTAATTAATTATTAAACTAGTAAATTAGATTGGACCTAGAGGGGGAAAGAACCCGGCATAACTGGGCCGGCCTTGGGCCACTCGTGTTTGTTGGACTCCAACTCAATACGAAGCCCAATTCCCTTTCCTCGAGAAGCCCAATATTTCAAATTGGAGTTTCCCCTTGCTAATCGCATGCCGCGCCTGTCGATCTGCCCCGCTCCAATTACTCTCCCCCTTTTGACTGCGAGTTGAATCAGGTCCTTCAACGGGAAACTACGGAAGTGCAGCGATGTCGGCGAAGAAACAACGGGGAGCCCGCAAGACCGTCACCAAACCGCCGGCGTGGCAGGAGATCATCACTCTGTCCGACTCGGACAGCGAACGGACTCCAGCAAGAACCGTTTTCTGCCTCAACGTGAAGAATGACATTGACGTTCGCAAGTTCGACGCGATGGAGGACTGCTTCATCCTCGATTTCGACCCGTACGATCAACCCGCCGCCGATCGGAAATGCGAAAACGTCGGCCCGGATACCGAAATCGCGCTGATTGCCGAGAAGGGTCAGGTGGGTTTTCCCCCTTCTTGGCCTCTCTCTGATCGTGTTTCCCTAAATTGATATGCTCAAATTCTGAATTGGGCGTTTCTGGGGTTTGAATCTTTGTTCAGGTGGCTTGTCGAGATTATCCCCATGCTAGGCATCTCTGTGCAAAGTTCCCATTCGACAGAACTCCCCACCAGAAATATTGCTCCATGGTTTGTTGTTGGGTTTTCCCCTCTTCCAATTGAGTTGCAAAGTACGGATCTTTCTTTCCCTTTGGTTAATTTGGGGGTTGTGGGTTTTGGATTGTTGCAGTGTTACTGCTATGTTTGTGATACGGCTGCTCCCTGCGCGTTATGGGAAGTGGGAACATCGCAGCATTGCCATGCCATGGGCCAGATCGCTGCTTGGCAAGTGGAAAGAGACAGGATGCGAACACGACGATGCTTGGCCATGGCTTCCAAGATCCGATAGTTAAAGTCAGTTAGAAGGATGCTGGTGCTTATGCTTGACCCTGTTCAAAGATCACTGCTTGTGAGTAGCTTCATTCAGAGGCTCTACTTAAGGAAGGCCGGCTGGTTGTCACGGTAGAATTTGACTTCATCCTTGTTTTGTTGCTTTCCTTTTTAGCCAGCAGGCAGCAGTTTGCTGATTTCATGACGAGAAAATTGAGATCACTCAGATTGTCACTTTCAACTGGCTTTGTCTGTAGTTAGGACTTAGGAGAATCTTTTTGTATCTGCTGCTTCAAAACAAGCAGCTACTTTCATGATTTGTCTATAAAATTGCAGGCTGTTGAGTTGTTTCTCCTCTATGAATTTGGCTTCTAGTGGGCACTGGTTTTCCTTCCGTCTCATTGTGCTGTGAAAGCTCTCTTGCCTTGACTACGGTTGATCCTTTACAAACACAAACTTCCAGCAACTAATAAGATTCACTTGGTTTCGGATCATCCAAACATGGCAGTTGGAGTATATGACTAGGCAAGCATCTTGGTTTCTAAGTTGTCTGTGGAATATCTGCAAGACTGCAACACAGGGATCATTGACATTTAGCTTCTGCTTTCTGGGAGACGCCTTACCAACTCGTGAATCGTGATAGCACTCAAGTAACGGTTAGAATGTTGAGTCAACTTTCACCAAAATGATTAATTCTTGTTAGTAGAGATCAAACCTCTCGCTATCTTATTAGCGGATAATCTAATCTCAATTACCGAACTATACCTATGAAATCAAGTTACGGTTAACTTTTAAATTAAACCCATCCATTATTAATACGGTTTACTGCTAATGTGCTAATAATGACCATTGAATGGTTTCGCATTCATCAAATAGTCGTTGAATCATGAAACACATAGTTTGTTTGTTGCCAACTTGCCATGAATCATGTCATGACATCCTGAACCTTAATCCCAATAGGTAGCCAGATCCACACCATTTTTTCCGTTGTGATATTTTGTTTAGAGAAACGGTGGGCCGAAAAGGGAGCAAAAAGCAAACGGGCCCGAAACAAAAGCCCAACCACTCGGCTCGGAAAGCCCCTTGCCATAATAGGCCAGGAGAGGAGGGGGATTTGGTCCCGAGCCCACCCAATAGCAGCAGCAAGAAAGCTAACAAAAGGCGCCGAGAGAAGGCAACCTTTTACCTTTTCCCTATCTTCTATCTATCCCTAATCTTCCTTCCCATTCTTCTCGTCAGTCTCTCCTCGACTACTGCCGCAGCCATGTCGCCACCAGGTCCCGTTATCGAAGCCGTCGAGCCTGAGACCACCGAGGTGGTCGCCGCCGCCGCCGAGGAGGAGAAGACTCAGCAGAAGCTCACTCCTTCTCAGGTCAGTCTTCAATCCATTTTTTTTTGTCCCCCGTAATAAACCTTTTGCCTAAATCAGCTCGATTTCCCCGCAGAGCGACGAGCCCGTCGTGGAGGACGTAAAGGAAGAAGACGATGACGACGATGAAGATGACGACGACGATGATGATGACAAGGACGACGGCTCTCCAGGTTCGTATCTATTGCTTTCTTCTATTTTAGTGAACTATCGATCTTTCGAGCTGTTGTGGAGATGAGAAGGACTTGATATGGATAGCGAATCTAGGGATTTAATGTTCATTTGTTGTTCTAGGGGTTTGCCTTGATTAGTTTAAGACTGATGGGATTATGGAGTTATAGTTCTCTTGCTCATTTGTTTCGGGGACAGCAAATGGGCAAAGAACTTACCCTTTTCCTTGGTTAGTTGATACGTGTGGATTTTGCTCTGTGATTTTCTCTAAAGTTCTTTTGTAGGGATACTCTGTGATGTTTCGATTTCGTAGTAACTTACTCAGTAGATGAGAATGGAGGATGTGGTTTGAGTTTATATCTTGCATTGCTTTGCGTTGAAATTCTATTTAAGCTTTGATTAGGCATGGGGCTTGGAGACAGTTATCCGTCGTAACAAATAGTTAATGTTGCCATACAGGTGCTAATGGGAGCTCGAAGCAAAGCAGAAGTGAGAAGAAGAGCCGCAAGGCAATGCTGAAGCTTGGCATGAAACCTGTTACTGGTGTTAGCAGGGTCACCATTAAGAGAACCAAGAACGTAAGCTGCATTTCTCTTTCATTTTCTTCTCTTTCCCTAGCTTCAGTGAGTTTTTTTTTTTTTTTTGGGGGGTGTAAGAACTAGATTCTGTGAGTTGGGATGATAGGGCTCTTCTGAAAATTTGCAACTTTGGCTATTTTGCAGATACTATTTTTCATCTCCAAGCCAGATGTGTTCAAGAGCCCCAACTCCGACACCTATATCATATTTGGTGAGGCCAAGATTGAAGACTTGAGCTCACAGCTGCAGACACAGGCAGCCCAGCAGTTCAGGATGCCTGACATGTCTTCCATGCTACCGAAATCTGATCCAGCTGCTGTTGCTGCTGTAGCACAAGCAGATGAGGAAGAGGAAGAGATCGACGAGACCGGAATCGAGCCTCGGGATATCGATTTGGTCATGACACAGGCAGGAGTTTCAAGGGCCAAGGCTTGCAAGGCCCTCAAGACCCACAGTGGCGATATTGTCAGTGCTATCATGGAGCTCACCACTTAGAAAGGGGTTCTGTGCACCAGCTCTGCTTTTTTGGTTCTAGTTTAGAACGCTTCTCTCAGAAAATGAGTTATCTATTTGTTTCGTCATTTGCGAAGAACTTGGAGTGTTTGCTTGCAGTGTTTTTAGTAAAACTAAAACCGAGTTATAGACAGGCAATTTGTGTCCCCTCTTTTATATCACCTGAATGCCACCATGTTGCCTTGATGAGTATTCAATTTCAAAAGGTTTTGCTTTTGGTAGCATGAAGATTTGTTTCGTTGAAGAGACTAATCCCTCTTTTCTCTTGATTATCCAAGGAGTTGAACGAATACTACATTCTTTGCAGCATCTTAGCTTCTATGATGAATGAATTAGTTCAAACACCATTTACATAGAACAGAATCTTGCTGCCTCTAGCTATTCACTACCCTGCAGTTGGCCCTAATCTCGCCCGAGCTGCCCGTCAACACCCCAATCTGCCCCATCTTCACCATTGCAGCAGCAAACTTGGCACTCCAGAGCATCCGGTTCCCTGCATTCTGGCCCACCTGTGCAGCTGTGGCTGCGTTGGTCATCAGAGTTTGGTCGGAAGTGAACATGCCGCGGTTCGAGAACACGTCGACGTAGTAACCCTCGTCCAGAACGGCAGGACTAATAGCGTCCATCGGCACCACCAGGTTGGCATTGGAGTTGCCCTGAGGACACTGCTGCTTCAGGGCCGTCGCGTAGGCAGCATCTAGGGTCGGGTCCTGACCCGTCCCGTTGAAGTTGTACAGCCTAGGCGCCACAGACGAGCAGTGAGACCGGCCGATGGTATGCCCTCCGGAGAGTGTAACCATTTCTGCCTGAGAAAGTCCCTTGTTGGCGAAGATTTGAGTGAGCTGCCCGACATTGGATGTCGGAGGAGGCAAGTTCGATGAGGCTTCAGAGGACAGTGAAGTTGTTCCATCTCTTCTTCCAGAAGGAACGTCGTAGCCAAGTCTTCCACTCTGCAATCAACATGTTCACTCAAACTATCAATGGACCTGGCACCATCGAAGTCGAACATTGAAGCCAACAGTCATAGACTTTATACTTACGAGCTCGACACTGTCCCTTGCAGCGAAGGCGAGAATGTCAGCGCACGAAACAACTCCTCCGCATATACCTTCCAGCCTCGACTTGGCAGCATCGATGACCTCGAAACCTCGAAGACTCGGGTTGTTGGGAGGGGAGTCCTTCTCGGCCGTGTTGGACGAGGTCGAATCTATCAGCACGGATCCATCGCAGCCCTTGGATGGATAACCAAACTACTATAAGGAGTTATGCATATATGACTTGACATAACAGAACAGAGTATGGTCAGTAGCTTACCCTGACGAAGCAGTCATGGAAGTGCATTCTGAGGAGACCAGCGGCGACTCCCCTGTCGTTGATGAAAGCTTGCCTGACGGCGGTTTTGACGACGAACTCGGCTAACCCACACGATCCGCTGTAGAACCCGACCTGGAGCTGACACTCAACTCCATGCACCACCAGAAACATTAACAGCAAAGCTCCTGCCAACTTCATCATCATCACCTTCCTTCCTTTGCTGCCAACTTGTTCTTCACCCTGCAATTGATATGTACTCTTAATGTGTACAAGTACAAAGAGAGATGATTAGCTACGTTAGCTTACATGCTGGGTTTATATATAGAAGATGGTTGTGGCTGGCAACTGCCTCCTTTTGCTTGGAGTTTTACTGACTGTAACAGTTTAATGTACAAGGATTAGTAGAGTGATGTCTTGGTAAAAAAAGAGTAAAGTGAGTTATCTATACGGTATGATTGTGTATTCTTGATGCAATTTCCAAGCACATTCTAGTTTCCATTGAGATTGAGATTGATGAGTTTTTAATAATGTGCTCACTATTGCCGCAAGGCAAAATGACTAGCATGTTCATTTTCACTAACTAATAATCGGAAAAAAGGAAGATTAAGATAGTTTGTTAAAGTAATACAATAACTCAACCAACTTGCACCTAAAGTCAAGCTCGTCAAAAGATCAATAATTCGCAACCCGCCCAACCCAAAATCAGAGTGGTACATAGCCTAATCCGCTCACAATTTCACGAATTTATAGTCCAATTGTGTTCATAACTAATATGATCAGACTTGCCTATGTTGATAGTGGCATCTCCCGATCGAGGATTATAAAAAGCAGACGAATCGCTCACAACTTGAGTTTGACAAAACAACGAACATATGATCCGTAACTCAGTTACCCAATTAACCTGTACTTTTACATGATTGACTCGCTCGTGAGCCAACCAATTCACTATCTGACTAATCCGTCAAGGCAATGAACACATCTTGCTCATTTCACACCATGAGTGGAATAATACCGATTACAGTATGATTGATGGCGTATGTTAATTACTACCAGGTATCCAAAGTAGGAATATATCATTATTATGTAGAACCAGAGCTAGCTAGCTAGCTGGGAAGCAATGCTGCAATTTTTGCTGGTATCTTAGCTCGATGATCATCATGTACATTGTAGTGGTTATGGAAAACAGGGGGGGAAAGGAATCAAAACGTTGCTATCCACTCCATTTGACAATATGGGAGAAAAGACAAGCAGAGTCAGTAAAATGGCGGGGTCACGGATCTTTGTCCTGGCTCTCTCCCCTGCTTCCTGCTGGACTGATTTGGACTTGCTGTGTTAAGCACAGGTTTAACGCGGAATTGCAGGACCTAAAACAACTGGATATGGCTTTGACTAATGAGGATTAGGCCTCACAACAAAACCATTGAGAGCTACACTGATTGCTTAATTGTATGATGATTGGACTTGTACAGTAGCATTTTGATGATGCTTTATTTTATGCACTGGGGACATATAGTTAGGGAAGGCAATCAAACCCGCAATTACGGGTATCCGCTCACCCCGACTCAATCAGTGCATGGAATTCCTATATTGATTGGGTACGAGGCGGTTCCGTAAAACCTCCAAAAAGGTTTGATGTGATAAATTTGGTTTTGACCTTCCCGCCCAAAACTGATACCTGCCCAACGTGCACCAAGACTTTTCCTTCATATATTAAAAATTTAAGGATGATATTGTAACCTCTAAATAACGAAAGATGATAATTCAAATAAACAAAAAATTGAATGTAAATGAGTGGCCATCCAGACCAAACTATATTTTCTTTTCATCAATTCTTCCTTCATCATTATAAAAAAAAAATTCCTCTCTTCACACTTTCACTTATTTCCCCTTTGTTGATAAGATTATGTTTGTTGTTTATTGTGAGGTCAGAGATGAATGATTTGGATAGTATTGTACTTTGTTTTATGAATTCATGATATTTTAGGATAAGAATAAGATGCTTTGAATTTGTATTGAGAATGTTGTATTTTTGTTGATTTCATTATTTATTATGTTCGTTTACTCTTACATTTGAAATATATATTGAGTTTTAAGTATAGTAATCTTGGACATATGAAGCATGTATCACTCACGGGTACCAAAAATCACGAACATGAAGATGAAATTGCAAAAACTCCTATAAGGTGTGGGTATGAATTTGGTTATTTGGAACGTTACTATGGGGTCGTTTGGATGTGGAAATCTACAAAGGTGGTAATTAACTCAAATTACCACAGTTTGTAAAACCTAGCAATTGGCTTCTGAAATTGGATCAAAATTCCTACGTTTGGCTATGGTTTGATTGAGTGTGAAATCTGGTGTGGTATTTATACTTTTTGGGAGAAAGTACAACAATATCCTCAAAAGTGAATGGAAAAAAGTTCCCCTCTTCTCTTGCTTTGCCCTCTACCAACGAAAACCCATATCATTTGCTCAATTGTTCCTACGCCCCTCCCCCAAAGCTCTTTTACTGTCTACTCGTCTTCCCCTGCAGCTTCCTCCCCGTCGAGAAACTACCACAACTTCGTTCTACAAAGGCAGCAACAGTGAAGAAAGAAGGCCATCGCGTCTCCCAGCAAGGTTGACAGGTCGATGGCGGACACAAACGAAAGGAAGGAAAAATTGTTTGGGTGTGGGAAAATAGCTGCTGTTCGGAGTTCGAAGACCCCAAAGAACCCAAATCGAAAATTCTATTCTTGCCCGAAATACCCATCAAGTGTAAGACTCCTAACTGCTATTTCGATTGTGTGAATTAGGTGAAGATTGTGACATAAATGTCTATATAGATTGATGTCAATCAGAGAAGCAGATTTTGGTTGTTGATTTTGAAAGGCTGTACGAATTTATGGTGTGTTTTGGCTTACAGGGATATTGTGACTTGTTCGAATGGTGTGCTGCTACTGATATGAGTGGCAAAGAAGATGAATTGTACAAGTTGATTGCCAATTTGCAGATTAAAGTTCAAGACCTGGAGGTTGAGAAGAGTTCCCTTGTTCTAACCTCTCCTGCTCATCGCCGCTTTCCAACCTGAAATAGAAGCGTCGCTTTCCAACCTCTCCTGCTCATCGCCGCTGTCTTGATCCAACCTTTCCAACTTCTGATCCAACCTCTCCTGCTTGTCGCCGCAGAGAAGCAAAGCAAAGAACACGCGAAAGAGAGAAGGATATATGAACTCGTTTGCCAATTAAAACCTAAAGCAACAAGAGGACAATTATGGGTTTACAATGAAATAGCAGGGTCACAATTATAAGAAAAAGTACCGAGAACGTGGGAATGTAAAATACAGGGGTGGGGGTGCCGGTTTTTGAATTGCAACGTTGGTGGAAAAGTGACCCAAATTACATGGGTCAATTACCATACCCACTTGGCCCATCCAAACATGGGAATTTATTTTAATTGCTGCATTGTGTGGGAATTTAGCACAATTCCCTCAATATTTTACTGCATCCAAACAACCCCTATGTGTTCAAGCGAATTTGGGTCCAGTAAACCCAACATTAAGAAGCCCCACAGAAGAGCGGGAAAATTATGTTTGGGCCACGCAACGAAAACAAATTTATTCTGGGCCGTATGATCTAGGAAATAGTTTGAGGCCGAGCCCGGATATGAGACCAAGCCCAGGAGATCTGAAAGCTCTGAATTCCTGGTTTTCTTGTGCAGCCAGCAATCGAGTCACCTTCTTTCCTCGGCCGATCCTCTCTCTTCTCGAGTTGCTGCAACAAGTTCCAAATTCGAGCTCGGAAACCAGCACACAACCCTCGTAGTCATAATGAGCCGCGGAAGTGGGGGCGGCTACGACCGTCACATCACAATCTTCTCGCCGGAAGGTCGCCTCTTCCAGGTCGAGTACGCTTTCAAGGCCGTGAAGGCGGCTGCCGTAACCTCGATCGGCGTTCGCGGCAAGGATTCGGTCTGCGTCGTCACCCAGAAGAAGGTTCCGGACAAGCTTCTGGATCAGACTAGCGTCACCCACCTTTTCCCTATCACCAAGTACCTTGGGTTGCTGGCTACGGGCATCACAGGTTTGGTTTCCTCTCAAATCAAAGTCCTTCACTGATTTTTCCTGTGGTAATTCATTGGGTAGGTTTACTTTTCAGTAGAATATAATTGAAGTGTATTAGAGTTGGCTTTTCGATCTATTAGCCGAATCACTGAAAGAAGCAGATAGTTTGGATTCAAAGGACATACCCTTGGAAAATGAAAGGGGAAATTCATTTGGGAAAGCAGTTTAGGATTCTAGTAACATAGAGAACCTGAAGAAACGATCTTTAGAAATACAGGGTACTGAAATGATTAGGAAATGAAAAGAGAAGAAAATAACAAGGGCAACCTTGCCACCAATTCCCTCTGGAAGTGCTGTTGGAATTGTTTTCATTAGGATCATCATCTCATCCATCTCTCTTGAATTGAACCACAAACAAAGAACTTGTGAGAAGCTGGTTGCAGTGTGTTACTACAATAGGCTAAATGATTTCATTAGTGAAAGACTCATAATCGGATAGGAGCCTGCAGGGGATTGGCTACTTGGGGACCGATAAGGGTTTCCCCCCTGAGATTTTGTTGGTGAATCATGTGTTAAGAGTTGTTTATAGGCCCTGGGTTGAAGCGGTTGAAATAATTATCCTCGGAAATTGCTTAACTCTAGCATGAAGGTTTACTTGTTGCTATAATCCATTTGATGACATTGTCTGCTGTAGCCTATATTTAATAATTAGTTATGTTTGATAAGTACTCTTCTTCCCTAGAGAACTAGTGCTTTTAATTTGAGAAGTTAACTTCGTTTCTTAACTGAGCTAATAGCTCTTCATCTGTGCTGTTGCCATTTTATTCATCGTTGCCCTTAACTCGTAACGTGAAATTTTGATTCATGTACTGATTAACACCCTAAACAAGCTTGAGTCCTGATCCAACAGTAAATAGTACTGAAGTGTAGCCTAAAAGTAACAGATTCTTAGAATAAATGGATTCATGCACTGTACATACACTGTTTAGAGTTTCCGAAGCCGCATTTTACTCGGTTCTTTGTCCTTACCACCCTCAAAGCCATATCATATTATATTTGTCAATCGGAAATTGATGAAGTTTTCCTTAAAATTTTCCAGCTGATGCAAGGACATTGGTCCAACAAGCAAGAAATGAAGCTGCTGAATTCCGGTTTAGATATGGCTATGAAATGCCAGTCGATGTATTGTCAAAATGGTAAGGAACTTCTCATTGTACTCCATAATGTTAATGACTTTCCCAGTCAGCAAATTGGTAATTTGTGTATTCTGTAATTCAACTCCAGATGAGGGTTCATTACTCTTTGCTTTGTTGCCATTCAAACTAGCTTGTATCATTTGCCCACTACTGCATTTAGCTTCCTATGCATTGCAGATGGCATCGTCTCTATTGTGTTAACCTCTATATTGTCTTTCTTTACCCTCCTATCATCTGGGATTTCTACTTTTTCTTTTGTTTGTTCCTGTGACTTCTGTTCTCAAATTGACTTTCTGCCTTTTTCACATCCACAGGATAGCAGATAAGTCACAGGTTTATACACAACATGCCTACATGAGACCGCTTGGAGTAGGTATGATGCTCATTGCCACTTTTCATGGAAGTTACTCTTTTAATCTCTATGCATGTATTAAATAGAGAGAAGCATGTGTTAAATATTTGAGTTTCATATGGTGCTGAAGATGGTTGCATTGATGTTTTTTTCACCTACAAATAATGTGCTTCTTAGTTGTTTGTTAGCAGTTTATCTTACCTTTCACTCTCTTTGCATGAAGTCGCCATGGTTTTGGGAATCGATGATGAGAAGGGGGCTCAACTCTACAAATGTGACCCAGCTGGACACTATTATGGACACAAGGTAATATTTCCTTTATCCTCCTCAACTTGTGATTTGTATTGATGTTCTCACCTAGTTTTGGCTTCTACTATCAAGTAGTAGCTAGTAAACCAAATTTCCGCGATCAGTGCTCTGAATAAATTAACCTAGGTAACTAATGCCTCCTTTAAAATTTTCGGAAGTTACACTGTACTGCCTACAAGTATGTTTTTCATATGGACAATATTGCTAAACAGAGAGTATATTAGTTACATTCATTTTTCTTTAATATTTCCGTTGTTTTGTCTTCTGTCTTCGGAATCCAAACCATTGCCTTAGTACTTTGTAAATCAGGTAAGCCCAAGGGTCACAAAGGTAAAGCGGATTCATTTGAGAAGTATTGAGAATGAAATTGGACCATAGGTTAAAATTAAACCACTATCATTTGTGTCTGTAGTTTATTTGAAGCTCCATGGTTTGTTGGTTACATAATTCGTGTGGCCTTACATTTTTTCAGGCCACAAGTGCTGGTTTGAAAGAACAGGAGGCAATCAATTTTCTCGAGAAGAAAATGAAAAATGATCCAGCATTTTCCTATGATGAAACAGTGCAGGTTCGTCTTCATATACCAGGACAAGTCCATAAAGAGCATGGTTTTGCTTGTCCTATATCTTTTGTTGTACGTTCCTGATATCATCGCTTTTTGTTTGCAGACTGCTATATCTGCTTTGCAATCTGTTCTTCAAGAGGATTTTAAGGCCACTGAGATTGAGGTATGAAGTTCCTTTTTCATATATTTGAACTACAAATAGCACTACCCGGTAAAAAAAAAAAGAATGTTATGTTGCCTTGCTCCTGCCCATTTAGCTTTCTCCAAGGATATTAACAGATGGCTCAGACACTTGAGCGTTGGAAATGTGGTTTGTATTATGGGGGGAAAAAAGACTTGCAGCTTCATTTTTTCTTGACCTGTATGTTGCATTGGCAGGTGGGAGTGGTGAGAGCGGATAACCCAATTTTCAGGATTTTGTCTACCGAGGAAATTGATGAACACTTGACTGCCATTAGTGAGCGTGACTGATCGAAAGTGGCTGGCTCGCTCAGACATGGAATCGTATCGCTGCTGCTGCTGCTGCTGCTAGGGGAAAATTGATGTGTGCACTTTGGAAAGACAGTCCTCAACTATATATGAATCTCTCATGTTTAGAACTGATGGGAGATTCATCAGGAGACTTGATTTCGCAGTTGTTTAGATTTGTGTTGTGTGAATTATTCTTGAGATAATTAGTTTTCTTGTCCAGCAAACTTCTCTCTTTAATTTTCATAATGCGTATATTTAAGATAATGCTAGAAACCGCTGCTCTATACAAAATAATGCATCCAGACGACCTCCTGGAGTTACCTTATTAAGTAAATCCGCACGAACTATAAGACCATTAACAACAAATACACCTCTTTTATTGCAATGCTAGAGCCACCAAACATTTTGTTGTAATGAAACAAGCAATATGGTTGGAACAAATACTCAAGTTGATCAAACCATTTGTCTCTCTCATTGCAGCATGATGTCTTATGAGGAGAACATGGTTTTATCATTTGAGGTAAATGTATAAAAATGTTTTATCATTTGTGTTTAAAAATTGTATTGAGACATAATTTTAAAAAGATAAAAATGGTGGCTTCGCCCGGGTTCGAACCGGAGACCTTCAGTGTGTTAGACTGACGTGATAACCAACTACACCACGAAACCTTGATGGACAAAAAGTTCAATATTGCAACTATTAATTTTAAAATCAGCAATAAATTAAAGAATTATAAGAACAATATGGCACACACTCACAATGGTTACACTTACAACAAAGTTAATCATCTATATAGTAATTAGTAGTGTCAATAATACATTTGAAATTAAAGAACAAAAGAAATGCGTTTAATTACTAGTATATGATCATAGCCACCACCATTATATATTTACTACTAAGTCTAAATCAACTCGGCAAGAGGGCGCGATTTAGAGGCTAACTCTGAGAGATTTGAGCCCACAGATCCACCGCGGATCATTCCACGGCCGGGACCTCGATGCATTCGGCACCTGAACGAACCCACGTGAGTGGTCGGCGAGCAAAGGCAATTCAACTTTCCCGGCGTCGCTGTTTTCATGTTCGCCGTCCATGCCCGTCGCAGCTTGTTCGGCGAGTCCGGCGAGTAGGTGTCCGGTGAATGGTTGCCGGCCCTGTGCTTGAACGCCTCGCCGATGCCGATTTCCGTCGACATTGATATCTTTGGTGGCATTTGGATGTCTTTCGCATTGTTAACTCTTGAGTACTTCTCTTCCATTACGCTTTTCTCCATCTTTCATCTGTAAATTGTTTATGGATTATCGATATATTAAAACATGATACCTTATTTGTGTAAAAGAACATTTACAGTAGTACGTGATGACTCTTGTGTAAATTAAAATTTTTTACGTAAATAAAATTATTCGGTCATGCTAGTAAAACCATTTATGAAGGAGAGAAAGATTTGACAAACCTGCAAAATCAAAGTCGTACGTGTTTTTTCTGGTTAGCACGAAATTGATGATCCTATGACGGAAATTGATGATCCCAAGTTCAAGTTTCTAGTTTCACATAGATATGAACAGAGAGTTGTGTGTTCAAATGGGCATTAGAAAGAAGAAAAAAGAATTCAGTTTCACCATTGTTTTCAGTTTAAAATACAAAGCACTAGTTTTTTTCCCCCCTAACTATTATTAATCTCAATATGTGGCCTTGCTTTATTAACAATCAAGTGCCACGAATTTTAGATTTGGAATTATAAAAAAGCTACCTATTATAGGCAATTTTCCGATTAATAAGCTACTTCATGAACATGTAACATCTCAAACCAATTTGAAGAGAATTCTCAAAGCGTGAATGTATTGATATCATTTGATAATTCATTCGTAAGTTTGCAGCAGTTATAAGATCGTAAACACTTTCATTAAAAATATTAATTAGTTAATCTGGTGAGCGAAAATATGTTGTCGAACGACCAAACAATATCAACCCATATACATGAGTTCACTCCTACAAGCACCATAGCCGAATTGGTATCAACTACTTTAGCAAACTCACCTAATCCAAAAATAAACTAAAAACAGAAGTGTAGAATTTTCACTTATGTTTGGAGACCACCAACACGACTAGTGTTGGTTTTCATTGCCATTTGTCATCTAACTTGTCAACAAAAATCATATTCAACCCCAATTTTGGAGTTGTATATGCCTTTCTCAGGAACATCCGATAAAATTAGAACACGAAGTTCCACATTCGTTGTCATTTTCATCTTCCTTCTAGTCACCCAGGTTCGAACTCCTCAACAGAATTTCCACATTCGTCATCGTTGTCATCATCTTCCTCCTTGTCACTGATGCTCGACGTTGCAACTGCAGCGAGGCAACCAGACTCGTGACCAGTGACCAACTCGTCTTGCGTTCGGAGTACCAAAAGCTCCTTCACCATCATCATGCAAGCAAACATCCTCCCTTTTTGTCTCTGAGAATTCCAAACACTAACCATTACTGAAGGGAACAAAGGGTTAAGAAAAACAAACACGCAAGAAGCAAGCTGCTACAATACCATTTTAAAACCTTGCACCTGCTTGCATTTCATCTCTTTGTAATCACTAAGATTATAGTACACACAGAAATTAACACGTGATAAACTTGAGTGTACAAGGGCAAATATCAAATACGAACTATTTGTATACATAAATGTATATCGTATTCATTTCGATCTACAAAGTCACCCGGCCAGACTTAGAATTACCCATCTCCTCCTGGCCTTTTCTTTTTCCCTGCCTTCACAGAGTCACAACCTTTACGACTGTGCCCAGCAAAGAATTAACTGCCACTCTTTGGTACTAATGGCAAGTATCACCTGTTAACATCTTATATTCACTAACCATTATATAACTAAGCACAGAAAGAGAAACAAGTACCTCACACTCGCATCTCTTTTCAGCACTTCCACTTCAATCGACATCACTTGCGACGAACAACCGAGGATGGGCTCTGCTGCGGCTGCAGCTTTCCGTTTTCTGCTGCTCCCTCTCGTCATCCTTTCCCGTGAGTGTGCTTTGCTTCGCTTATTCGTTATCGAACTGTGGTGTTTTTGTTTCTTGCCACATAGCTGGTTTCCTGCAATATTCAACGAGTCTGCTTCTCGTTTGTTGTTGCAGCGTACATCTCTCTGATAACCGGGACAGACATTCCTGCCATAGGCATCAACTATGGTCAGTTGGGGGATGACTTGCCATCTCCTTACAGATCGATCGAGCTCATCAAATCAATGCAGGTAACCAGCGTGAAGCTCTACGACCCGAACCCAGAAATCATGAGGCTCTTAGCTGGGAGCAAGATCTACGTAACGGTCATGGTCCCAAACCAAGAGATCATCAACATCGACACAAACCACAGCTTCGCTGTCAAATGGGTGCAGGATAACGTCCTGGCCTACTACCCGGCAACCATGATCCGGTTCATCATGGTTGGGAATGAGATTCTCAGCCATCATAGGTCAGCAGAGGATATGCAGATCTGGAACCACCTTGTCCCAGCAATGTACAAGATCAAGAACATACTCAAAGCGAACAGCATCCAAAACATCAAAGTCGGAACCCCATTAGCCATGGACGTCTTGCAAACAACATCCCCACCATCCAACGCCACATTTAGGTCCGATATCGCCTTAACCGTGATGCCTCAGCTGCTCAAATTCTTGAATGGCACTAAATCCTACTTCTTCATCGATGCTTATCCTTACTTCCCCTGGTCTGCAAACCCCACAAATGCATCCCTTGATTATGCACTGTTCAAATCACAAACAAACTACACCGACCCGGGAAGTGGGTTGGTTTACACTAACCAATTAGATGAGATGCTTGACTCAGTCTTGTTTGCCATGACCAAGCTCGGGTATCCCGACATCCGCCTCTTCATATCAGAGACGGGATGGCCACATGAAGGAGATCTCGATGAACCGGGTGCTAACATCTACAATGCAGCAATCTATAACCGCAATTTGGTTAGAAAGATAACGGCCAAACCACCAATTGGGACGCCAGCTAGACCGGGAGTGGTTATACCAACGTTCATCTTCTCACTGTACGACGAGAACCAGAAGGATGGGCCTGGAACAGAGAGGCACTGGGGCTTGCTGCACTCCGATGGGAGTCCCGTATTTGACATAGACATGACTGGAAGTAGAGCAGATTCAGAGTACGAGGCGCTACCTGAAGGGCACAACAATCAGGCCTACAAGGGGAAGATATGGTGTGTTGCTGCGAGAGGAGCTGACATGACACGGCTGGGGAGGGAACTGAGGTATGCCTGCAACCAAGGGAATAGGACCTGTGAAGCACTGGACCCTGGGAAGGAATGCTATGAGCCAGTCTCGCTGATTTGGCATGCAAGTTATGCGTTCAGCAGTTACTGGAAGCAGTTCAAGAGCCAAGGTGCTACCTGCTACTTCCATGGACTTGCTGTGCAGACCACAAGGGATCCTGGTGAGAAGAAATTTTTTTTATGAATAATATGCATGCATACTTTGCTTTTAAGCAGTTGGATAAAAATTCAAACTGCACATACTCACAATTGCATTGACTGCGTAGGTCATGGATCTTGCCAGTTTCCCAGTGTGACACTTTAAAGATTACCATGTTAGCGGAGAGGAGCTGAACTGAAGCAGTAGGACTAGGAGAGGCTCCGCACTCATCTAAAGGACAGTCATCAGCAATCCCTCCCAGCATCAAATCTGTACTCTTCCCTATCATTTGTATACTTAGCTTTACAAATAAGGAATTGTAGGTACATCCTTAACTAGGACCAAGGAAATAAGCCAGAAGAAACGGATAACAGGACAGAAGCTCGTCTATGCACAATGTTTTAAACTTTAAACCCCCCTTCAATTGACTTTTGTTTTGATTTTCTGTGCTTATTCTAGCGAAAATAACAAACTTACCGATCATTCACCAAATACTGGTAATTATGAACATATAAAGAGAAGAAAAAATCTGCCATGACATGTATAATATAAGTTTCCGCTGTATTCCACTAAGGCTTTAAATTTAAACAGAGATGTATTGACTCTAATACAATACCTTCTTACCAATCACATTAAAATCGACAGACACTGCAGAAATTTCGTTTGCTATCAATATTAGCAACTTGTAGACCAAGAGGAGAAAACAGTACAGAAATTGGGTCACATGCTGAACTTTCAAACATCTTCTAGAATAGCTTTAAAGATAATTATACATTGATTTCAAACCGGTATAACTTAAAAGAGTTTTATTCCAAGCACCATACACCAACATAACCATGAGCAAACTGTTATCTCACACAAAACAGAAGCTAGCAACAGTTTTTTTTTTTTTTTTGCACAACTAAACCAATGAATGAGGGAAAGGAAAAGAAGGTGTCAAAGCCCTCTTCAACTGGAACACCAAGTCATGATCACTAGCAACCAGCAGGTTTGCAGAGATGATTTATTAATTTACACCCTGGAGACCAACTGAACAAAAGAAAAGAATCATTTTCAGCAACAGTCAACACAGCTCTTACAAATAAGAGCGAACAAACATCTTAATCCGGGTCCTAGCCTCCAAGGCTCGAAACAAACTTTTTTGCCACAGTGGTGAAGCTCCTAACATTCAAAACCACCATCAAACAAAAACATCTGAAACCTGCCTCATTCACGGTCTCACTGACATAAACCAAATAAGAAACAAGTTCTAGTACTTCAGCATAGAGGATAGTTATCCACACAAGGATCATACTGGAAAGAACAATAAACTCTCCTTCGATATGTTGACTACTATAGTCCCAACCAGCACTAGGAAGAATGACAAGCCCCTCTTTACTTTCCAGAAGTGTCTAAAGACATGACAACAAGGCTGAAGATTCAACTCAAAGCAGCACAATCTAAAACTGACCAAAGTGCCAATCAATTAAGCTGCCTTCTTCTGCTGTTACATTCATGTACCAGAATCACATAGTTCCTCCGCCATAGCAAAAAGTTGACAGCTTGATTCATTTCACATCAATAGCCATTAAAAAGCATAGCATTCAGCAAGGAACTACAGAAAGGGAAAATGTCTAGCCTCTGTGAACTAATTAACAACTTGCATACCGTTACACCTAGCGCTTAATATTGAGCATTGACTTCGCCTCGCTCTGCTCCTCGAGCAACGAATCACTGGCATATTTACTCAAGAGATCCATCTTCTTCTTCTCCAGCACCATTTTCTCAATCTCCTTTTCATCAGGCAGCGGCACATGAACCACAAACTCTTTCTGCTTATCCATCTTCTCCTTCTCTTCCTTCTCTTTCAACCTTTCCTCTTCCACCACATCTTCCTCTTCCTCGAACAGGACCTCCTGAGCCGCCGCCCCAACTCCAACACTCACAACCTCCGTCGCTCCTCTCCTCGCTTCCTTTCTAATCTCCTGCATCCTCCGCCATTCTTCAACCTCCCTCAACCTCATCTTCTCCTCAGCCGGCCCCTCTACTTTCTTCAGAACCCCATCTTCCTCGTCTCTATACCCGTAGTAACTCGCGTCAATTCTCTTGTAGATATCGTACCTCGTCCGCCGCTTCCGCAGCTCCGGCGGCTTCTCAAACAGCTCCTTCACTCCGGGAAGCTTCTTCGCCGCGCCGAAGTACCGGTACCCAGGGCCACGACCGCTAGGGTTCGGGACGTCTACAATGTTCCCGTCCAAGTCGGTCATTTTGGCGGAGTGTTTGGCATAATTAGCCCCGCCGAGCTCGACGATACGCCGCTCCCAGTGAGATTTCTCTCGTATCAGCTTGTTGATCTCGTCGTTCAGGTCCCGCAGCAGATGCTCGCCGAGGCCTTCGTTCTGGATCTCGGCGACCTTCCGGCCAATCTCCCGCATGATCTGCTGCCGCCACTTGTCGGCTTCGGCGAGGTCCCGACATTCGGAAGCGAGGAAGGGGCGGCGCTCCTTGGGTTTCTTCTTCTCTTGCTCTTTCATGGTGATGAAACGATTGAGCATGGACTGCGCTTTCTCTTCGTTACGAGCCATGATTGCTTGAACTTCGAAGATACAGCAGACAAACGTGCTACTTCGATGTCAATGGCGAAGGGATGCAGAATTGCAGATACAGTTTCAACGCCTGGTGGACGGAAGATAACGTATCCCTAAACGAGACGAGAAAGGAGCGGAGTGGCTAAGCTTTGCAACAGCAATGGCGCTGCGAGGGAGACTTGTGCAATTGTGCCTATTTCTCCGCACTCAACAGAGAAAACCGAAATGGAAATGGAAATGGCTTGGGCTTGGGCTTGGGCCGGAGCTCCTAGTTAAGGAGTTGTGTTATATATCCTGGCCCAGATCGGTACTATGCCTAATTCAAGGTCTACATTGGAAATTAGTAAATTACTAAATATTTATGGGTTAAATTGCATGATTCATATTCTTATAATATTATTCTGTGTCATTATAAATCTTTTGTTTACACAATTATTGTATTTAAATAACATGCTTAATGTGTGTGAGTATAACACACTTAATATATTCATCATAAATACATTGAGTGTGTTGTGTCATTGTCAATACATTAAGTGTGACGTGTGAATATTTATATGTTAATGCATGAATACATATGCTCTAATCAATCTTTTTTCTCTATCGTTGATCTAATGATCTTTTTAATCCCATATGCATTTGCATATTAATTATATCATATGCACTATAACCAAATTGAATCTCTACATACTCTCGCCCTAAATTTCACTAATTCATCTCCCCAAACAAACGTCCAAATTCCTACAAACTTTTACCCACAATTTCTAGCCAACTCTACCTAACTATACCACTCATTTGTACCTAATTAACCAACTCCATCCATCCTCTCCTTTGCAAGTTACTTTTATCTAACGGTAGAAAAAGGAAAGGGGAAAACATCATGGTGGGAACAAATAACATCCCCAATCTTCACCAACTCATCAATTGAAACAAGCATCCAAATTAGTAAACACTCGTTACCAAAAGTTCTTTTGTCCATCAATCAACAACCAAACTTCTGAATGATTTTTTCTACATACTAATCTATGTCAATTAATAGCACACCTGAATTTTAGGGGTTAACAAATATCAGCTACAAAACTACATTAGAAGATATTGATAAACTATCATGTGCATCTATTGATAGCACAAGCCAGATGTGTCACTTCGAGCCAATGTTTCCTCTCAAGTAATTCCAAGCAAGCCACAACAAGAACATCAATAGAAGAACACCTCTTTCATTAAATACTAAGGCAGCTAAGCATCCTGATTTACTAAAAGAAACAAGTTGCGAATGTTGTTTCTTTCATTCTAACATGATGCTTGTTTTCCTTAGTATTATTGATTGAAGAGGTAATTGGCTTGGGTAGTTGGCTCAGCAGGCCAAACCCTCTCCAAAGTTCATAGTACCATTTCAAGAAAATTTGAAGGGAAATATTTGAGGAAAGGGTTAATGACTTTTTTTGTCCTTTTGCTACGTGAAAGTTAAAACATGAGCCCCTAATCAAGATTTACAAACATTTCAATTCTTCTATTCATGGACTTTTAGGTTTTAATATCGATTTCTTGTTGTAAGCTTACACGTTAACTTCTAATGTTAAACTGTTATGGTCTCTTCTCTATTTGATGAAATAATTTATAACTTGATCAAGTCAACGCTCCTTCTCTTATTGAGAAGAGGCATATGTGAAGACATCAAGTGATCTTGAATAACTATTAGATGTTTCTCATCTTCAACTAATTGAGATATCTCACATCTAACAAGGAACGAAATTCACTATTTGCATCGAGTTTTGACAGCGCTTGATAACTTCAATCAGAAAAAGTTTTATAGGCGCAAGCAGTTTTCCAATGTGAATTACAATTATCAATCCATTCAAAATAAGAATTCGTTCCCCATTAAAGAAAACTGTCAAAGCCAACAAGATCTCAAATTACACATAGAAACATGGATTTTTTGTCCAAACAATGGAAATATTTCCCCCTTTCCTTTCACATTAGGTTTTCCTAGTCATCATCAAGTAAAATGGACTTAGTATCCAAATTCTTGTATGAATTCTAGTCCGACAAAGATTGCTAGTCCTATGAATTCGACATATAGGCACCAAAGTAGGACACTTATTATAATGGTGCGATCCAACGTTAACTTTGTGAAGAATTTACATACTGTTATCAATATCAATAATTTGCATTGTCCCTTTTCCTGTAGCGAGTAAATGGAGCATCCACTCAGGCGACAATCATATCAAATCACACACACCATCTCCATCCCCACCAATTAAAACCAAGAGTATTGAAGAAAAGACCAATACCATAAAGCTTCTACAGTATTATAGTGCACGCACCAAAGAGAGTTAATAGCTGCAATTGTAGTGGGCAAAGTGGGGCGCGGCTGAACTTCTTTTCCCACCAACCTCTTTGAACATCCTGTCACTCGCAATACCAATTCTTTAGTGCCCAATCTCCACTCACCACTCTCCATTAGTAGCACACATAACACAAACAGAAGGGTAGTAAAATGGAACAAAACGCTCCCAAGCCCTTCTTCTTCTTCTTCTTCTTCTACTGCTACATATGCAGCTTTCTTCTGGTTCTGCTGCTGACGACGAACAACAAGGCGCTTGCAGCCTCACCTCCGATACCATCATCCTCATCATCATCACTAGTTTGCAAGGTCGGTACTAATGACAATAATTCCATGGCGGCAGAGTGTCAAGTGGAGGCGGAAGAATCGTTATTAGAGATGCTAATTACTACTGGTACTGATGATGATGATGAAGTGAGAGATCATGGGATGAGAAGAAGGTTTGCTCAGGAGAGGGAGACGCAGAGGTACATAACACCAGGAGCATTGAAGAAAGACAAGCCTGTGTGCAATGGAGGCACCACTGGAGAGGCTTACAGCAGCAGCTGCTTGCCCCCTCCTTCCAACCCACATACCCGTGGCTGTTTCAAATACTACCGCTGTCGCTCTGATTCTTAAATCAATACCTTTAAATCCCTCATGTATGTGTATCGCTGGCATGTAATTAAGCCAGAGAATCTAATTGATATTATATGAATGACTGTGTTTGTCCCAATTCTGCATTGGTTCAAAGTTCAAACATTAGGGGCATCAACTATTACAAAGCATGAACCGAGCAAATTGTATCAGGCTTTTCTAGATGTCAACTCAGGGAAAGGAAAATTACTCCAGTGACCTAGTTGCAACTGTACAAGTTCTAGCCACTATTCTGCAATAAAATTGTTCCCGTCTAGTGTACAGAATGAGCCATAAAATTGGAAAGACCATACCTCGTCTAATTCCAGCACCATATGTCACCATTGTGGATGATATTAAATTGCATAGAAGGGCATGCTGCAAATTCATCACTACATGATGATAATACTGACGACTTACGAAGCCAACTACGTCAAGACTTCGAGTCACTCTTCATAGACAGTTTCCAAACTTCTCGGACATTCGAAGAGCCATCTGCAACTTCCGCAACTAGGGTTGCATCCATGACACCTGCGAACAAGTCAAACATGCAATTACGTCACTCAGTGAATGGAGATCAAACACCAAATGGTATCAGTGTCATTAAAATGATGAATCCCCCAAGAGCCAGCTCACCATCTTTCTTCACCATAGACAGAAACTGGCGGGTTCCACCACCAACTCCGAAATAATGCTTTTTGGCTGCCATGTATGTAACTCCGCCAGGACGTTTCACACACTGCAGTTGGAAACCCAGAACACGAGCAATCAGAAGCTATGTAACAAAATGTTACAGTTTAATCCACAATCCCATAAGTCAGACCGCACCTTCTTTATGAGTTCATAGAGACTTTGTTGAGCGGAGATCGCATAAATTGTCTCGGCCATTAGTATTATGTCATAGTCATAAACTGGATTCTGCCTTAAGCTACTGTCTGCGTCCTTTCCATCGCTGTATACATGAGGAAGACACTGATGGACTTGGCTCCAGTCACCAGCAAAGTATTTTACTTCCGTTTCAACAATCAGGGTGGTGTCCTTGGATGCTGTAGATTGTGAAGTTTGTGAAAGATTGGCATTTGCATTTGGAATAGTGAGACACCGCAGGACCTCAGCATTGAAATCCTGGAAGTGGACAGCTGCTGCACCCTGAGGCAATGAGACCCAAATAAGTACATTAGGGGTGTGAGGTTCTAAACATAATTAGAAGTAGAAGAATGATGTGCTCGAGTTTTACCTCTAAGCAGGCGAAAATCCCAGGAAGTCCATGACCGCATCCAAGCTGAGAATAATGAAGGAAATTGATGAGTATAAAACTGAAAATAAGAACATGAAAAGCCATTCCTCTTATTCGTTCTATTGTTAATATTGCAGCAGTCAGTCAAATCAAGTATAATCACTAATGTTAGGTCTTGACAAAACTAAGGTGCATGCTGCAGGCATAGAACTCCGGAATACAATCTCAACCATGGATGCATTGGTTGCAAATGACAAACAGCTAGTGCCGATTAAAATGTACTTTCAGCAATCGTGCTGGACCCTTTCTTTGCTAGTCTAATCACTGTTGAAAGACCTGACATAAGAAATCGATAAGTCTATTTTAAACTCCTTCCAAACAGTCTTTCTTCGACTGATACAAAAAGCAACATAAGAAGTTACATGTTCTTGGCAGGTTCAAGCTTGCACACTAGGACCTTCTCAAATTCACAAAACTACCCTTATATCAATGGGGCACAGAGACTTACTACTCCGCATCCTAGTTCACATCACAAACTGTACAATGGTAATTCTTTCCAAAAATGAAGGAAAGTTAAAAAGCTTTGAATGGTGTGTTAGTTTCTGAAACTAACACAACTATTGATTGTTCAATCAACAAAGGAACTGGTAAGGTGAATATAGATTAAAAGTCATCAACAAAGTATCAGAATGTTGAATGAATTTCGAACTGGAAATATCCAGAATAGACCCACCTCTAATACTTTCTTCCCTCTAAATGACAATTCTCCTTTATGAATCTCGGACCGGATAGCTTTAACAAGGTCAAGCGAACCCTCCCAAAGTTTCAGTCCCCCTAGTTTTCCAATGCAGAAACAAATGAAAGCTTGTCAATGGCAGTTAAGCAGCACAAGTTTAACAAACAAATCAACAAATCCCTAACAAAGTACGAAGTAATAGAAAGATCTTACAACCTTCATATACGCCAGCAACTAAATCAGAGTCAGGAACTCCCAGTACCTCTTCAGTACTCACCCGGCCCTTGCCAAACAACAAAGAAATCCACGCAATTCAGTTCAACTGATTCAAAGTTACAATCTTTCACTCTGACTGATTACATTCTTCTACACCCTTCCTCATTTCTCTTCACGAAAACCAAAGAGAGTAAAGTTATAAAAAAAAAAAAACACGCACCTTAAGCAACGTGAGGCCATCCAAGTTCACAGGCTCCAGCAAGCACTTCACAGTTGAGGAAACCTTTGTTTCAACCATATAGGTCAAGTGGTTCAACAGATTAGTACTCGACTAATGGACGGAAACGAGCTCATGGTAATAGAGATTCGAATGTACATATACAAATACCTCGGAAGCAAGCACTTCGACTGGCGGGGGTGGGGGACGAAGAGGGGCCTCAGACGAAGGATTGCCGAAAAACCCAGACCCAGCCGAGAATAATTTGAACTCCGAGTTTGCGAACGCCATTTTCTTCACCCGGAAACACTTACCTCGAACTCAGTGGCGGAGCCAGGATTTGAAACTACCCTTGTCCTCTTTTCATAATATAAATATTTAAATATTTAATTAATAATTATTTAATAAATAAAATTAAAACTAATTATATCTAAATAATTCATTCACATATAAAAAATAATCGACTAATAAAATCACTGTTTTCATAAGCAACCACGACGGAATTTCATATTGTGAAAAAAAACACAAAACATTTGTTGTCTACAATGTTAAATAAGTCTCTTTTAATGTATCGCACTAAACAATTATTAGCAAATTGGTCGCCAATTCGACTTCAAAACTTGTTCTTAATATAACTCAAAACTAAAAATGTTCTTTCTGCACTTGTAGTTGCAAATTGGTAGAATCAAAACTAGTGGAATTGTCGTTGTTACTGAAAAATTTCAAGATTGTTGGGGAAAAACGAATAGACATAAGGAGAAAAAAGATTTTATTAGGTCTTTATTGCAATTAAAAGTTCATTTATAGTATAATAAATTAATTTTATATCAATTTATGAACAACTAATAAGTTGTGTTGTACTTATAAAATACTATAATACCACCTTTAATTGTTTGTTCCATCATCAATATAAATATATATGAGTATTTTTTTTCCACTCCGAAATTTACCCCTGTCCCGTGACAAGGGCTAATGCCCCTGCCTCCGCCTATGCTCGAACTTCTATGGGTTCTCTTCTCCCGCCGAAGCAAAAGTCTTGAACCAGGGTTTAACTATTTTGGATTAGGGGTTTAGTCTTTTGGTTTTCTTTTGGGAAAAAAATTAGAGGGGAAATTAGGGATTTGGGAGTGGAAATGGCAATTGTTCGAATTGAGGAACAGGATTAGGTCCTCTTGTCTTATGCCTACAAATTTTGAACTGGTATTTATTTTAGAGTTAAGTCAATTTTCATTATATTGTTCCAATTTACAAAAAAAATAGTATGTTCTAGTTTTTTTTTATAAAACATATATTTTTTCTTCAATTTTTTGTTAATTGTTCGTTAAATACTAAGTACTTCAATTTTTACGTATATTTTAGGTACAGATCTATTAGTAAAGTGACTAAATTAGATGAGGAATCTACTAATAGTCATGTCTATTAGTTAATCTGCATTATAGGGTTCATTGGTGCACGTTAAACCATTGATAGTGAGGCGACTTACATTAAGAAAGAGATATATTAGTAATTATAAGAGAATCTATCAATAGTCATATCCATTAACAAAATCGACATTACAAGATTCATTGACGCACGCTAAACGACTATTAGTAATCATACGGATAGTTTATCAATAGATATCTCTATTAGTCAGTTGGAATTACAGATTCATTTTTTGAGTGCATTAAACCACTCATAAAATATTCATAGTAGCATTAATAATCATTTTATCAGTAGATATCATGTGTCCCATAAGTATGAAGTATGAACTATGAACCTACCCATTCACCATTCACTTGCAAATATTGATAGTAGTATTAGTAATCATTTGATCAGCAAACCAGAAATGCCATTAGCAACAATTATGGGGAAGCTCCCAACTTTCCAATTACACAGACAGGCGACTGAACAAACTATAAAAGGGAACAGAAAAGATTATAAGAGCACTATCATCCATTCCTTCATCTGCACACTGTCCACCTCCCATAATAAAAGCCATAAACTGACATAAGAAAGCTGCCCTACTTACCATGGACAGTATACCCTCTACACATATAAGCTATTCTTGCGTTCTTTCTTCCTCTCCACTTCTGTAAAAAGTACAAAAACCCATGGATCCACTATTCCAAAACAACAACATATTGGGTTCTTTTAAATAGAATCCTAGTCAACTGAGGAAACTGGAGGATCCTCATTCAATATCTTGCTCTTATCTACATACTTGGAGAATGTGTATTTGAAATCATCCCCTTCAGCAAAACCAATAGCAGGATCCTTCCCTTCCCTAACATCCTTCCTAACTCTCTCAATTCTCTCCAGGATTCCCTTCACAGCCAAATCAAACGCGTCCTCGAAACCTGGCCCTGATTCAGACCTGGAATCTGCATATATCACCCTCGGAATCAGCCTTATCACCTGCTCTCTCATGGCCACCACCTTCTCCGCTGGTATCTGCAGCAACGTCTGGTTGACAACACCAGCTCTCCATTCCTCAACATGCTCCAGTGGGATAAACACAGAGTACCTCATGAAATCATCCGGCAAATGCCACTTATACTGTGCATAAGCCGTTCCAGGGTGAAAGAAGACCGGGATGCACCCTGCCAAGATTGCATCAAACGTTGATCTTCTCGTGTATGAATCGCCTGGAGGCTGCAAGCAAAAAACTGAATTCTCAAACACCGTCATCACATTCACAGGATTGTTGCAAGTGATGGCGCCCTTTTCGCCGTAGCTGCACTCCAACAACTTGCACAAGTTGTTTGAACCTTGGCATTCCTCAAAGATCCTGCCACGAAGTGAAGCATTGAGGTCGGACCTTGGAGCACCAGCGAAAGAGAACAAGTAGTCCCTTTTCTGCCTTCTCAATTTCTCCTGCCACTCCGAAAGCCCATTTTGGTTCAAAGGGTGGAAGCAAGTCGGGTATGGAATTGCATAATCATTGTTCCACGAACTCGACTCGATAGCGAGCATCGACATGTTGTCTGATTCCGGGAGAAACCTAAGCTTGCTTCCCCAGTCAGATTCTTCATCCGTTTTTCTCCTGAAATCCCACGATATCCTCCCAGCAACCATGAAATGATCCCTCCCCCACATTCTCTTCCACTCGGGCTTCTCAACCAGCAACTTCAGAAGTTCAAACCCTGATTGATCCCTCACTGTGGCACCATACCCCCATAGAAATCTACTGAGATCGAGCCCCGCATAGTAAGGAATGTAGATGGCAGATGCAAGTGATGAATCATTAGTCAGACAGCTGTAATTCTTCATCCTGTTGTGGAAAATCACTTCCAGTATGAACTGATTCGTCAAGTACCAACTACCACTACCGTTCGACAAAACCCCAGTGGAGTCCTCAATCGAAGGACCCAACCCATCATTAACCAAGTAAGGGCACATGTTGTGTTCAGTTCCTGGAGTAACAGATCCACAATTATCGAGCAATTCCTGGTTAAACCTAGCCGGGATTTCCTGAATGTAAACGTACTTCCCCCAACAGGAATCGGCGATTACCTTCTCCTTCTCCACCTCTTCCGCATTGCCCTTCTGAGCCAGAGTTTCTGGCTTCTGAGTAAGGACGGTAGGGTTCTGGTAATGGCTGCCAATCGCGGGTGTGATCCCATTTCGTTGTTCCGGTAAAGCAGAGAAATCGAAGCAAAGCAAGACCAGGCATAGGAGAAAGGAGGCCAGAACCACTAACCAGAGCTGATTGTTGCACCGTTTTGAATGGGTCGTTGATGGTTTCTCCATCTCTGTCACTTTCGAATCAACTTGGTGCAGCGATCGATTCTTCGCTGTGGGTTTCTAGCATCGAGTCAAGAAAGGCTTCGCTTCGCTTCACTGATGAAATGTCGGTGGTTGAGGGGAAGAAGAGAATGAACGAGAAGAGGCCGGGAGTTCAGGTAAATCATGCGGGAAATGCTGTGATTGGAAGTTTGGGGATTAAGAGTTGTCGGCAACAGCAAGCGTCAATTATGGAAAAGAAGTCAAGGAGAGGATTAACTTAATGACGGGAGAAAGCTCCGTTAAAGGAGGAGGGAGAGGAATGGGAGTGTGGGAAACAATTTGCCGTTAGTGTTTGTTGAAAGGGGGCAGAAAACGTCCGTTAAGTGTTGTGACTTGTGAATATGGCACATTCATTCATCCACGTGGTGGTTGGGCCGGGCCCAAATAAATTAACTAAACCTAGATCTGTTAATATGCAGGAATAGCAATTTTGAACTCTGTTAGTCCATCTTTAGTGATTAGATCAACGTTGTGAAACCGTGGGTTGATCCGGACCCGGTCAAGCTAGTGGATTAAGGTTAACGGGTCATCCATTTTAGCTCGTTTTAGCCCGAAAATATGAAAATAGTCATTATATTATACTTATCCTGATAAATTATATCAAATTTTATCTAACATGTAAGTAATAACATATAACATTACACTAAAGTAACATGTCGTACTTAAATCCAACATATAGTGAAAATTCGCACACACTTATATAACATCAATATTCAAATGTTCAACTAAGGATTCCAAAGATTGAGTTAGGCGAAAAGAAAAATCGGAAAATAGGCGCATTTCACAAACCAAAGAAAAAAATGACACAATTTGACCTCCAACCTGATACCTTGTAGCGATCGACCCGACGGGTGCGTGCGGCCCGTTTTTCTCAATGGATCAGGGTTAAAGTGGGTCGACCCGCGGGCTGACAACCTTGGATTAGATCCAAAAGTCCAAAATTTGAGACTATAATTCAAATTCTAGCCCCTAAAAAGGTGTTTTGACATTAGTAGTGTGTTCCAAAAGTCCAAATTTCCAGATTTGCGCTTTAACTCATAATCCAGTTTTGTGTATATCTCATCATTCTAATTACAAAATTGGTTCATTAATTTTATATATGTACTAATAATTAATTAAGATGAACATTTCGACAAATTATTTTTGAATTCTGACAATAAAAATTTATTTGTATATATGACTTAATTAATGACGGTCCCTTGTTTGGGACCGAAAGAGCCGTTGGAGGAGATTGTGGGTGCTAAAAGGTAAAGTTGTTTTTTTTTATTATTAAAGCTCTTTTTGGCAGGTGGGCTCGTCTGTTTTCCCCCATGTGGCCACACTTTCTTTTGGAACTTTGTGTCTTTTCTGGACCAAATTTGAACCCAATTTTTAGATCAATTGAAACTTTTGGCTTTTTGGAATCTTACTAGAGTGGGTCTAGTCCAATTTTTTGGAATTCCAGCCCACCACTAAAGTTGGTCTTAGCTTAACTACTTTGAGATGGGTAAAATTCGTCTTCTATGTGAGGTCGGCGGATATGATATAATTTTTAACTTGATTTACTTTGAAGAAATTCATTCTCGACCTATTTTTGTCTAATTATATGTAATATTATTCAAATTATTTATGATTTCACTTTTATTATCTAATATTATATTTTTAAGTCATAAAAAAGTTGTAAATAGATGAGAAACTCAATTTCTCAAATAATTTAACTATATTTATCATGTTATAGTTTGTTTCATTAAAAGTTAATGAAAAATAAATATTTCTAATGTTTTTCCTTCAGATTACATATCTATATGGGTCAAACTATCCCGGCTCGCGACTTAAACCTGACTTACCACAAAACCAGTATTGGTATCGAGATTGTAAACAATTCAAAAAATTTAACTTCTCGGATTGTTGAAAAAAAATAGAAAATTTGTATTGTTTGGTAACTGCGATTCAATAAAATACAAATTCTTTTTTATCAATGACATGTTTACCCTTAATTGAAAAAGTCATAGTGACTTGAAAAAATTGAGGATTTATTGATAAGGGTATTTAATGGTAAAAGGAAGTAATAAAGCATGATAGAAATAAACCTCACAATTAAGGGCTCATTTGAAGAAAAAGATTTCGGCCATGGATTCATTAAATCTATAGATTTAGTAGAAAGTTATGTTTTTTTTGTATTTTTATTTTAATTTCAAAGATTTAAAATCTGTTAAATCTAGAGATATCAAATCTCTCATAATAAAAGAGATTTTATATATTGATTTGTGAAATTTTTGTTCCTCCTGCTTTATCCCTTCTTTTTCTTATTTATTCCACTAAGTACCCTTACCAATAAATTCTCAAGATTTAATGAGTCGCTCTGCTTCTTTTGTTTAAGGCTAAACATGTAATTTGCTAAAAAATTTAGAATTTTTATTTTGATTGAATGTTAACAATCGCAGTTACCAAATAGTGAACATTTTAAAATGTTTTCTCAACAATTCGGGGAATTACACTCTTTTGATTTTTTTACAATCTAGAGATTTAGACTCCAGTTCTACAAACCAATCCTAAGATATAGAATCTCTTCAATCACGAGATATTTGATATCTCTAGATTGAGAGATTTAAAATCTTTGAATCTAAAACCCACAATACAAAGAGAAACAAAATAACATTAACTTATGTTGAATCTATAGATTCCATGAATATATTATTCAAACATTTTTCTTCAAACGAGCCCTTAGTATTTTTACCTTTAAGAGTTTGAGTTGCGGAGAAAGAGAGCACTGTGAAGATTTAGTAGCAAAGATGTGTATATTCTACTATTTCTCGTGAAACGTGAAAAGGTTAATTATGAATCTTATGACACTAACTTCAAATTATGTTTAAATTGATTATTAGTATTGAAGATCGTGTAAATTCAAACACATGATCACTTGGCCAAACCACATTTTTATACCATATCATAAATCATTTGATCTCAATAATTCAACCTGCTAAAGAAGGTTAATTATAAAAGTAAAGAGCTATGAAGTTGGCCTAAACACAAAATTACTTGTATCACTTTTGAATATATAATCTATAAAAATTACCTTTGAATATATAATATATTAAAATTGTGTGTAGAGGGAAAAGGCAACAAGAAAGGAAATCTCATACGAGGAGTGATGGATTGACCCAAATTGTCACTTGCTCAATCCTTGATCTTTAGGGGTTATTGCTTCTATGCAGGTTGAGAAGGAAAAAAATCCCTTCATTCCCAAGTATATGTGTGAGCTCTCTTTTATTCACTACTAACTTTATGAAATGTATGTCTTCACCTATAAAAAACTATAAGTTGTATGTAGCATCTCTAAAATTAATCATACGTAACGTAGTCGTGTCATCTGTCAGTCGCGCTAGTGTGATTAAAAGTTCTTTCAGCATCTGCATCAGTATTAGAGCTGATATTTGGAGGAGCGGTCATTGTATCATTTGTAGATGCCAGTGAAGGAGCAGCAAACGTGGTTGAAACATCTTCATTAGCTTTCCACCTCTGTAGAGCCTGAGGGAGAGTCATGTTGAGGTCAATTCCGGAGCCTTTTTGCTCTTGATCTCCCGTAGAGGATTGATCGTATTGATTATTTGAAGGGGTCCATTGCTCCACCAATGGTGCTAATACGTTCACCGCGTGACCCATTTCAGGCCTCTGGCTTGGTTCTGTGGCAGTGCAATGACCGGCTAATTGAGCGACCTTATGAATGGCTTCTAACGTTGACTCGTAATCTTGATCTTGATTATGTATGGTAAGAGCGCTATCGATGGCCGCTTGGATGTTATTCTTGTTACTGTTCATCATCATCCGGAACCATGTCACGAGATGACTTGTCTCATCCTCCACTGTGTCATCTAGAGCTTTCCTTCCTGTTATCAGCTCCATTAAAATCACTCCAAACGCATAAACATCTGCCTTCCTTGATACTCTTCCTGTAGCTGATCGCCGATAATGGATGACATAGTATTTATGTGAGTGCATACACAAAATATACATACAACATACAAAACTAAACAAAACAAAACAAAAATATTATTAAATTACTTACTAGCATATTCTGGGGCCAAATATCCAAAAGTTCCAGCCAGTCGGGTCTCCATAGACTGTTTTCCATCAGTGGCATGCTTTACTAGACCAAAATCTGAAACTTTGGCTCTCATATCATCACCAAGAAGGATGTTTGATGGTTTCAAATCTCTATGAATAAAACTCTGTTGAGCCAAGCTGTGTAGATACTCGACTCCTCTTGCAACATCGAGGGCAATGGTGATTCGCTGCTTCCAAGTTAGCGGCAATGTACCATGGCGATGTTGATCAAATAAATGTTGTCCAAGGGTCCCTCTAGACATATACTCGTACACCAACAACCTCTCACTCTCGTTGATGCAATAACCAAGGAACGCTACAAGATGTCGATGTCGGACATTGGACAACACTGCAATCTCTGCTTGGAATTCTTTCAATCCTTTGCTCCCCATCGGCCCAGACTCCATCCTCTTCACCGCTACTTGGGTTCCATCATGTAAATCCCCTTTGTACACCACACCAAACCCACCTTTACCTATGATTTTCTTCTCTGAAAAATTGTCTGTTACTTGTCTTAAAACCTCTATAGACATAGAGGCACTAGGATCTTCAATGATCTTTTGTCCAGCAGCGACCTTTCCGCCAATCATCTGAGGACTTCTTCCATGCAATTCATCAGCAACAATGTATACTTCTTCTTTATTATTTCCCTTCCCTCCTTTTCCGAACATGAGCTTTCCTTCCTCGTCTCCAATCTTCTTCCCTTTTTTCTTCATTTTCTTATATCTAAGTAGCACAAATAACACAATTGCAAGAACAAAAAGAAATACCAATACAACTATGGCAACAATCACCCATTTCGATATCTTAGAGGAATATCCAGTCCCGTTGGTTGGATCCTCAGGTTCAGTTGATGATGCTCCTCCAGTAGCACTAGTGTCAATATTCGTCCCCAAGAATTTATTTCCAGGATAAAGAGTGAGTTTTACATGGGATGAAAAAACAGGAATCCTCCCTGACAAGTTGTTGTTGGAAAGATCAACCACCTTAAGCTGAGGTAGGGTGGTGAGGCTATCAGGAATCAGGCCTGTCAAGTTGTTTTCATTCAAATACAAAAATTGCAAAGATGCAAGTTGTGCAAAAGCTGGCGAAATCTTCCCTGCAAACCCTTGTTTTGCTAAGTTAATAGTGGTAACATTCTTTCTATCTGGATCGCAAGTGATGAACGACCATCGAGAACATGGGTCATTCCCTTCCCATTTGTCAGATAAACTTGTTGGGTAACCAAAAGCCTCAGCAACTTGAAGTAATGCCTTCACTTGGTCAGAGCAACCAACCCCAGGAGCTGCACAAAAATTGTTGGCTCCGCTGTTAACTACCTTAATACGAGAAGGAAAAATTGGAACTGGACCTTGAAACTTGTTATTAGAAAGAGAGATATTGCTCAATTTTGGGAGTGAGGCCAACATATCAACGGGGACTATCCCAGTGAGCTGATTGTCCCGAAGCTGCAAATCATAGAGATTATCACATTTTGAGAGATTAGGAATCGGACCAGTGAACTGATTATTGTGAACCCACACTTGAGACAATTGACTCATTCCAGCGAGAACGTGGAGGTTCCCAGAGAGCCCCATTTCTTGGTTATTCAACCAAAGGTTTTGAATGGATGAATTTGCCATGGATTGTGGGAGGGGACCAGTGAGGTTGTTGTAGCTCAGCTTTAGGTTCTGCAAGCTGACTAAGGGTCCAAACATATCGGGGATGGACCCAAAGATATTGGCATGCTGGGCGAGGAAGGAACTCAAAAGTGGTGAGCCGAGAAGATCTTGGGAAGGGATCTGCCATGGAGGGAGATTGAGATTGTTGCCAATACTCAAAGTCTGAAGATTGACGAGGTTCTTGAAGAAACCAGGGGGGATAGAGGAGAAATTATTGTTGTCCAAGAAAACAGACTGAAGATTGGGCAGTTTAGAAAGAGAAGGAAGTGGGCCTTGGAAATTATTGTTCTGGAGGGATAAAGTCTCAAGGTGGGTGAGGGTTGAAATTTCAGGGGGCAATGTACCGCTGACCCCAAGGTTTGAGAGGGAAATGGATGTGACTTTAGTGTTACTAGAATCACATTTGATCCCTTTCCAGTTGCAGAAACCAATGGAGGATTTAGAGGACCAGCCAGGAGGCAAAGGGGAGATGGATTTGGCAAGTTTGAGAAGAACAAAACTATCGTCGGCAACCACGCCGGTGAGAAAAAGGAAGAGGAATGCTTGGAGATACAGAGGAAGCAGGAAGTGACCCATCTTGGAGGAGTTTGGAGGAGGGAATGGGTGGAGGTAGTGGAGAGAGAGATGACAGAAACAATAATAGAAAATGCGAAAACATTGCCGAGCTCTACCATTGTTCGGTAAACGAGAGTTTCCTAGCTAGTTTTCTCCTTCCTATGTTTAGCTTCTCTCTTTCTGGTTTCTCCAACTTTTGTGGAAGGAGTCATGAATGAAGTTCACATTTCTAACAAAAGGAAAGTTGTATGGTTAAAAACAAAGATGCGTTTACAAATATGGTTTGTTTGTACCTTTTGTACACTTACATTTTTGTGCTTTCTAATTTTAATATATTTCTTAATAAGTTGTGGTTTGTGAGTCACACTTAATAGGCATAAAGAACTAGGTATATGATTTAATTGTATTTTGACATTTATTCTAGTGGTAAAAGCCAATATTGTTAAAAAGTGAAAGGACTCATATGATGTTTGTAATTTGACCTCTCCAATTGGATTATTTTGTAAATATTTTCTCTATCATCTTTCTTTTTATTGTCCAATGATTAAATACATTTTATTACAAAGAAATCATAGATAAAAAACTTGTTATCATTTTTCTAGCGGTAACATGGGATTGAGAACATTCTCCAAACTCCAGGTTAGAAACTTGTAACCAACAACCATCTCAAAACAATACAAAAGTAAACACAAGCACAAATCAAAACCTACAATAATCGTAAGATCCAAAAAATATTTTCTTGGACACATGATGAACCCCATCATTGTTATAATGGCCTTGCAAACAAAATTGATAAAACACCGACCACATCAAACACAACAACTAGTGCACACCTTCATCATCTTTAGTCATTGATGTCTACATTATCTATGAAAATCAAAATGGAATAATTAGTTCAACCAATACAAAATCACATGAGAAGTTGTCCATTGATAACTTACATATAAAAAGATAATTTACGAACTTATATCTGTCACTATCACTAGTTATTAGTTCTTCTTTTCTCTTCATATTTTTAATTTTATACTCTTCACCATTATCCAAGGTGGATTATAGTTGTTTTTATGACAATAGATATTTGAAAATTGAAATGATATAGAACAACAACTCGAGGGAAAGTAATTTTTGTTCTCTACTTATGCCAATTTTAGAAAATACATATGAGAGTCATAAGATCAGAAACCACGATTGTGAATGTGTTTGGGATTATTTTGACGGTGTAGTTGAATAAAATTATGTACTTATTCTCTCGAGTCGAAACGACAAAAAAATGGATAATTCGAATTTCTACCAATCAAGATTAAAGTATGCTTTTGACGATGAAAGAACAACAACATAATTGATGGGTGCAACATATTGATCATTACTCGAAACAAAGACAACATTGTAAACCTATAACTAGGCTAACTAGGCACGAGCAACAACATTATCGAAGCACAATCACTATTGCCGACGATGAATGCCTCGACAACAATACACCGAAAAAAGGTATGAAAAATATGCAGCATTCGCGAACTCGATGGATCAATCAACTCAAACTCTGGCGTGCTTGCACTCGGTAGGTGGGCCTTGCGGGTACCGGTAGGCGTCGGTACAGTAGTTATAGATCATGAAGTGGGCCTGGACCCATCTCAGTCTCTTCCTAGCGTGGGGGCCCAAATCATCGTGGCCTGCTTCCATCAACGACCCGCTCCCACTGTGCGAGAAGTTCTTGTACTGTTGGGCCACCATGTTGCGGAAGTAGGCCGTGAAGGGGGCCATGGTCCAGTCCGTCTTCACAAGCCCACCTCTCGTGGCCCAGTCCTCGGCGTCCCACAGGCTGGCGTAGAGCTTCATTGGCTGCTTCCTTGGGTAGGGAACTCCATACTTGACAAGGTTCTTGAACACCCTTATTGGAATGTTGTCCACCATGAAGCTGCATTGCATGTACAAGAATTGGATGATTTAGGATGTTAGGATAAGATACAATACAACACAATCGATCTGTAGTTTGGGGTAAGTAATTTACATGATGTGCTGGGGCTTCCAGATGACGGTGTAGGTGTGGAAGTTCCTCGTAGGGTCGAACCAGAGGCGAAATTGCATCTCCCTGTTGCCCTGCCCGTGTGTGTACACGTTTGTGTGGAGTGTGTAGGGCTGTCCGCTCACGTTGCCGAGAAACTCAAAGTCGATTTCGTCGTGGACGGGGCCTTGTGAAGACATCTTCGTTTTATACGACGTTTAATTAGTTAATCGTTCGCAGTTGAAGTTACAAGCAGATATGAATGGAGCGGGATATGAGACGTACGTAATAAGCGGTGACGGTGCCGGCTGAGTTGCCAGGGACGAGCTTGATCTGGGTGTCGATTCTGGCGTACATGTAGTCGAGCTTGGACTGGAACCCCGAGCCGGAGTTCCTGTCGAGAGAAAGGGAGATAATGTTGCCTCCGTTGAGAACTTTCCCACGGTCGCCGCCCCACGTGATGTCTACATCCTCAAAGAAGTTTGGTGCCGCCGCGATAGCCCGTTGAGGCCCTATGCTCAACATGATCATCACCCCAATCGCCACCATCGCCAACACTTCGTGATGGTGGCCATGATCATGTGACTTTAACCATCGGTAACAAAGCAGAGAACCCATGATCAAATCTTAATCAATTTGGTATAATTGTATGAATTATGAGGAATGATGGGAAGAACAATAGTGGAGCTAATGATGATGTGATGATACTAGGGAGTTATTTTCTAGGTAGTAATGGTAACGGTAATGATGGTGGAGATTGATTGAATGATGAATGGATTTAGGTAGTTGATGATGAGATGATTTTATATACTACTATACTCTAGGGTTATGGTAAATGGTAAAAATGCAACATGGGAGACTGTTTTTTACCGAGGTTGATTGGGTCAAGAGAGGGATGGGAGACTGCAACAGAAATGGTATTGAATTGGCATGGAAGGTGGACGATTCACTGGTTGACCTTCCCTGCCACCCGATCCGATTCTCATGGTGCCTTTCTATTCACTCCCCAGTTCCTGTAAAAATGGTGATCTTGCCACATTTAGAAGATATTTACTTCAGCGGAAAAAGTGGAGGAAATAAACATGAAGTTCGATACAATCCGGTTAGCATGCTGATGGAGGCACGATGATGCTTGTTCATGAAGGAAATGTCTACTTCTAACCAAAGGGTTTAACAGAACATTACACACTACATGCTGGGTGTTGAAACTCGAACGTATGATCCGCCAACTTGCAGTTTTCACTCCTGTTCCTGGGCGGTAGGATCAGTGGAGACGTCAAACCCAGGTGGGATGAACACTACATCGTTCCACGTTGAACCCGAATTCTCCTGCAACAAAATATAAAATTTCTTCTTACTTTACCTTCCACTCAGCAAACTCCAATTCTTCTGATAAAATCAGGGAATTTTGGTATTGTGGGGAAATGAACAAGTGTATATGGTGATCGGAAAAGGTGCATGATGCACCCCATGGGGCCAAGCTCAAGCTTGTATTCACCTCTCATTCTCCAACATTATCAAACACCTTTTATCTAAAGAAGGGTCAAGGAGGTTACCTTCATGGACTTGATTACTTCTTCAAAAACAGCCACCTACAGAAGGAAAAAAGTAGGTTAGGCAGATGAAACTTGAAACAAACAGGCAACAGGGAAATTAAAATCCATAAACCTGATTACCTGAATATCTCCATCCCTGAAGAGAGGATTTAGTTTCTTCTGGTCACGTGAAGCTCGGACAAGAGACTTCTCCAAGTCCTCCTACAATTACCAAGGGAAAAGAGTTACAGACCATTCAAAAGAAACCAGTCCATGTAGAGAAGGCTGTTACTTCCTTAACCGACCTTTCTAAAGAATACAGGGCGGTAGTTCTTGGTTTGGCTGCTCAACACCAGGCTCCTTGACTGAAATAAAAAGAACGCGAGGATGATGAGAAAGAAGTAGAATGGAAATCGAACACAAAGCATGCTCTGCCCAACTTAGTGAAACAGGGAACTTGGCCATTGAACACATACATTGCATTGCATGACACAAATAAGTAACTGATCAGTTCTTTGAAAATCAAAATCAGGTCTATGAGGATTCATCTATCCGTTATAGCTAGCAAGTGTAATCGTTAGCACTAGCTCAGCATGTGTTACAACTGGCAGCAGAAAACAGAAAGAACCAGAAAGCACAACCCATTGTGAAATGCCTAAATTTGTACTAAACCTGGAAAACTGGAACCCCAGGGAACCCTTCATCAGACAGTCCAACCTTTTTCCGCTCCTGCATGTGATTGAATGAAAGTAAGCAACTTTCATGATGAATCGAGATAGTGACATAGCATGAAGAAGTACGACTGATGACATTACATTAAGGTATAGTAAATTATGTACTTGAAAAATTAGCCTTAAGAATAAACCTAACCTGGATGTGCATTCTTTGAATTATGAGGAAATCATGCATGCAACTTTCAGAAAACATAAGAGATAAGTTTCACAGGCTTTTTTTTTTTAATAGCCAGTAGGCCATCATTACATGACTCACTTTTTGTATGGTGATATCCAGGATAGCAACTTCCTAAAGCTGCCCATGTTCAGGAAAGCACCATTATCATATAGCAACACAAGAGCTTTATTAGTTTTCGCCAGTGAATAAAGAGACCAAGATGCACATCCTAATAATTGAGTATCCTGATAACAATCTTATGACACAGCAGATGTAAGATAACACTCAATTTCAGCAGAAGCACCTCTGTGCTCACTTGCATTTGTACTATCTAGTTAGAGCTGTTACACTATGCTCATTGGTCCATGCCACTGATTATCAGGCGCAGGTGAAGCAATAGCTCTAACTATCGAAATAAGGAGGACCGAGAAGTCCCACCTATAGAGATTTTTCCACACTATGCTTAGATACACGAGTTACGCAAATCAGCGAGGATCCAATGTCCATTTTGCTGACATTAGTAAATTCTTATTATCTTCACCCTCTAACTCCTACAAACACAACGGTTAAACACATCATCAGCTCACTCTGAGATATGCAGAGTCGAATAAAGCTCTCCAGCTTAAACCGCATTGTCAATCACACCGATCATGAATCATTATGCACATAGACATATTGATGGAATAACTAGCCGCAATCCCAGAATCAATGAACACCAAAACAGCATTTCAAAACTGCAACTGAACTAATCAGCAGTGAAGTTTTCGTCTTTAACTTGAACCAGTAACACACTTACAGTAAGAGCATTCTTCACTTGGGCAGACTCCGGTATCAACCTCAATGAAACTCCATCGACCTTCAGTTGGAAAACCTGCCCAGAAACCACGATATCAACACCAAAATTGAACAAAGGAAAAGCGTACCAAAGCTTAAAGAAGAGAAAAGCAGAAAAAAAGGACTAACCTTGTTCAAAGCAACGGCAACAACCTTAGATCCATCCTTGCGCATTTCAGGGTCCATGCTCTTCATCTGGTGAAGGAGAGCATCGGCATCCTCCTTCTTGAAGCACATCAATCCAAGAGACTTTCCCGTGGAAACTCCAGAGACCAGAACGAATTCGTCGCGGGAGTTGCTCAAGGCGTAGACTGGGACGCCAGCCAAGCGCTCCTCGATGGCTTGAGGGGTCAACGGAGGAGTAGCAGCAGGCGGGGAATTGGACGGCAGAACCGGGTCGGGAGGAATCCGAGCCCAGAGCGGGTTTCTGGAGGATGAAGGAGGAATCGGGTTGAAACGAGCAACGGCAGCATCAATTGCTAGCTTGGAGTGGTTCTGTAAGTGGGAAATTGAGGCTTGGAGGTGAGTTTGTGTTTGAGCCTAGAATGTTCTAGGCGGTCTTGAGAGGAACGAGCGATGCGTCTGTTCTAGAGGATGGGGTACTCCAATGCTCCTGCAAAACAAGGGTCCTTGGGCGGTCGCCCTGGACACCCTCCGATGCTTAAGTTAGAGATGGAATAGAGAGTTTGTGTTTATGGTTAGAGAGAGAGAGAGTAGTTGGTTTACCATCAATGCAGATATGAATGTATTTATAGTGATCTGGTCTGGGTTTCGGGCATTAAATGCCATTGTCAGGCGTCCTAGATCGACCCTTCTTTATCTAGACCGCCTACGGCGGGCAATTAATGCTCAGTCCTGCGGAGTTCGAGGTGAGTATCTTGGGGAGATCTCGCCCTATACCGAGTAACGGCTCCTTGTGTCAGGCGGCCTACTACCTGTCCCATCCTAGGGCGGCCGCCCTCCTTTCTCTGTTCCCCATGTCCGCTTCTCGGGCCCCCCGACGGGCCTTTCTCCTTGGGCTTTCTGTGGGCTTACAAGCCCTGGGCTTATAAGCCCAATACCGCTCAGCTATGGCCCAACAATTGCCCCTTAGTCGTGAAAAGCAGCGGGTTTTGGCGGCTACTCTTTACACCGAATGGCTGAGCGGTCCCCGTAATAACCGCTGTCTACCCTTCTGCCCCTGGCCGCCACAGTCGCTTTTTCACAGCTGTTCTGGTCTCATCCCTGCGTTATTTTCTTCGTGCTCACTCGTTACCTACCCGCTAAGCGGTCAACGTTTATTTTCTAACCGTCCGTAGATTTGAGCGGAAAAGTGCGCTCTGCTCTAAATGTCGGGCGGTTCTGCTGCTCACCCCCTTTTTGTTTGACGCTCCCTTTTGTTTTTTGGGCGGTCGCCGAACGGCACTGTTTGTCCACTTGTGCTAGGCGATTCCGCTGTCCACCCTCTTCTTGCTCCTCGCACCTTCCGCCAGTCGACTATTAGGCGGTCGCGCTTGTTTGCGCTTCGCCTTTTGCCGCCTCGTCTTCTGCGTTGCGCCGCACCGCCTTTTTCCTCTGCCACGTGTCGGCCTTGGGCTTTGGGCCCTGACATCGGGCAGCTATCACGTCCAATCATCTGCCCGCGTTTTGAATTTCGTAGGCTAGGATTTTCCCTAGGCTACTCAACCGTCGCCTCGCTACCTTCTTGCCTTGGCTATTTATACCTGTCCCCTTCTCCTTCTTCCTTCTTCTACTTTCCCGAAAATCCATTTCATTCTCTCTCGCCAAGATTGCTCGGTGCTCCCGTTTTTCCCTCTCTTCCTACTTGCGCGATAGCAATTCTCTGTCTCCGTCGCGAGCAGACTTCCTCGCCAAACTCCGGCGACGTCAGAAGCGAGCCAAGAGGAAATTCCGGCGGCAACTGACGATGGATTCGCATAGCACTGCTCCTTCCGACAGCCAGAACCAGCATCTTTCCGGCGACGTGGTCGCCGTATTGACTTCCAGCGACGCCGGCGCTACTTCTGGTGACGCTAGGACTTCTAGCGTGAGTGTCCCTCGCTCGTCGGCGAAGTCCGGGGGCGGCTCCGGCGGACCGCAATCTGGGACCCGGCAAACAGCTCCAGGTACAGTCTTCCTCTCGCTATTGCACATATGATTTCAGCACTAGGACTTTAGTATTTTTGAGCGCGTGGAGTTTGGTGCGGTTCCCGTAGCGATTCTTAGACGGTCTTGTTATGACCTTTTAGGAGTAGAACTGGTAATGGCTCCTGATGCGGGTACGTCCGGCGCTCGGCGTGGGGCGTCTTCTGGGGTTGGCGATAACCTCGAGGCTTTTAGTTATTCCGAAGCCGAGAGCGAACCGCCACAAAACCCGTCTCGTGTTGACCTTACTGATGACGCCCATGAAGACCGCCGGGAGGAGGAAGAAGGGGAATCGTCCTTTTCTCTGACCTTGTCCGACTCACGTCCCGTGGAGGCCTTCCAAGCAGTGCTGTCAAAGCCGAGCCGAGCCGGCCGGCCGAGCCGCCAAAACCGCCGACCGGGCACAAAACCGGCTCGGATGAGGCATTTAGCCGGACTGGTCCATTGGGGCGGCCGGCGAGCGGCCGAAGCGGTTAACCGCTCGAACCGCTCGAACCGGTCGTCCGGTTTTTTACTTCGACCGGTTGATTTCATTAAAAAAAAAAAATTAAAAAATTGAAAACTAAAGGCAAAGGGGATCGGGGTCGGGAAGCAGAACCCTAATTTAATTTTCGTTCTTCACTTCTTCTATCTTCTTCGTGGAGAAGAGGCTGCGCCGCTCCTCATCGTCGCGACGTCGCCTTTCCTCAGCGCCGCTCATCCTCGTCGCGACGTCGCCTTTCCTCAGCGCCGATCCTCCTCGTCGTTCTTTCCTCCTCGTCGCCATCAACGTCACTCTCAACCTGCTCCTGCGGCGATCCCGCCGTCTCCCGCAGCTACGGCGTCTTCTCCTTCTCCACCTTCCCTCTTCGCTCCGGCGACTCTGTCGCTTCCCTCTCCGCTTCCACTGGCCTCCCGCCGGATCCGGCCTCGTCTTCTTGCCGGCTAGAGGTCGGTTGAATTAATGGCTGAGTACTCCATTAGCAGCAGCACCGATCGACTAGTGATGGTCTTTGGTTGGTTTTTATTAAGGGCTTGAATCAATAGTGCAGTTATGCAATTAGCAGCAGCACCGATCGACTAAGTCCTCGCCCTGTGAGCCATACAAACCAGATCGGGTGTTGCTTGCCTGTTGCGAGGCGTGGCTGGGGATGCTTCTTTAATCTTTATTGCATTCATTTTTATTGCTGCCTGGTAGCTGATATTGCATTCATTTTTAGTTTTTACTGTACTCAATTAGTTGCTGATTTGATCTTTGTGGTGCGTGGGTTTCCTTCGATTAGTTGCTGATTTGATCTTTCTTTTGTAGATGAGTACTCCAAATCCAGATAGTGGTACTCAATCAACAACACCAAGCTCTACTGCTTCAACTGGGCAAGCTGGTCGAGGAAAGAATGATCCTGCTTGGAATTACATCCAAGAAATCAAAGATGATAATGGGAAGGTGCTGGCACTCAAATGCATGCTATGTGGAATTGAGAAAAGGGGAGGGGGAATTCATCGAATGAAAGAGCATCTTGCTCATTCTACAAAAGGGAATATTGTGAAATGCTCAAAAGTTCCCTATGATGTGCGTCTGAGATTTGCAAATATTCTTAAAGAATATGATGAAAAGAAGGAAGGGAAGTCGAAATCTAATGATCCTATCATTGGTGACAAAGATGACGATGTGGTTGAGTTACCGAGATCACAGGCAACTAAAAATGTTAGTGACTTGATGAAGAAAGCTAAGGGAGCTGATTTTTTTGCTTCAAGAACCACTCCTGGGTCGCAACCAAGCATCAAAAGTGCAATGGCTACTAAGGATGCAATTCATAGAGCTCATATGATTTGTGCAGAATTCTTCTATGAGAATTGCATACCTTTTAATGTAGCTCACTCAGATAGTTGGCAGAGAATGTTTGATGCTGCACTTGCTATTGGTCCAGGATTTAAGGTACCATCATATCATGATTTAAGGGTGCCTTTACTAGTTGATTGGAAGAGAGAAACCCAGCTAATTGTTGATCAACAAAGAGCCGTTTGGGGACAGCGTGGGTGTACTTTAATGGCTGATGGTTGGACTGATCAACAAGGTAGAAGTTTGGTCAATCTATTGGTCTATTGTAGTAGAGGTCTTTGTTTTCTTAAATCTGTTGATGCAACAACGGTTGTGAAGACTGCAAAGAACCTTTTCAAGATATTTGATGAAGCAATTCAGTGGATTGGCGTGGGCAATGTGGTTCATGTGGTCACTGATAATGCAGCTAACTACAAGTCATGTGGTAAGATTATTCATAAGACTTATCCACATATTTATTGGTCTCCATGTGCAACTCATTGCATGAATTTGATATTGAGTGATTTTGGAGATTTGGAGAATGTGAAGGCTGTCATTCAAAAGGCTAGAAGAGTCACTGTGTTTGTTTATAATCATTCTCCTGTGATTAATTGGTTGAAAGCAAGGCCAAATTGGAAGCAAATAGTGAGACCTGGTGCAACTCGCTTTGCTACTAATTTCCTCTCCATGAAGAGTGTGTATGAGCACAAGGTTGATTTACAAGCTTTAGCAGTGAGTGAGTTCTTCAATGCAGATGAATCATCTAAGACTGCAAAAGGAAAGGCGGTGAGTGCTATATTGTTAGATGCTCAGTTTTGGGGTGATTGTTTGGAGATGTCAAATGTGGCTCAACCAGTCATGAAGTTGCTGAAGCTTGTGGATTCAGATGAGAAGCCCACTCTTGCTTATGTTTATGAGGGAATGAGAAGAGCAGTTAAGGGAATCAAAGAGATCTTTTTAGGTAAAGAGACTTTGTACAAGCCTTACATTGACATCATCAACAAAAGGTGGGATAAGCATTTCCGGGGGGATCTAGTCAAAGCAGCTTATTTCTTCAATCCTGCTCTCAAATATGATAATGAATATGTGGGGGACATTGAGGTGAAGGGGGCTATAATAAACTTGCTTGAAAAGCCCCAACTTTGTAGTGATGGTTTGCAAGCATGTAAGGAACTGAAACTGTTTGAGGAAGCGAAGGGGACTTTTGGTAGGGACTTGGCTGTTAGAGGTAGATCGTCACTTGATCCAGGTAATATGAAGTATCATGATTTGTAATGCAATAGTTGGTCTATTTAATTGTGTTTGTTCTAATAAATTATTTTTCTTTGTAGATGATTGGTGGAATACCTTTGGTGATAGTGCACCATTGTTGAAGAACCTTGCACTTCGAGTCCTAAGCCAAACTTCTGCCTCTTCTGGATGTGAAAGAAATTGGAGTGTGTTCGAGCGGATTCACACCAAGAAGAGGAACAGTATAGAGCATGATAGACTAAGCGATCTAGTCTTTGTGAACTACAACATGAAGCTAGCAAAGAGGTATGTGATAAATAGCAAATATGTATGATTTGAGTACAAAATATTTTTGCCATGAAATAGTGACATATTTGAATTGTATTTAATCATTCATAGGTCTCGTACTAGAAAAAGTAAGTTCTTGGTTGATCCATTTGACTATGAATGGATTAATGCCACTGAATTTTGGGTTATGGATGAGGAAGAGGATCCAACTCCAGATCTTAGCTTTGATGAGTTGATGCAAGCTATGGGTGATAATAATGCTAATGACGTTCCTGAAGGAAGTGGAACTACAAGTAGGAAAAGAGGTCGCAATGAAGGTTGGATTGACATATTATTAGTAAATGAAGAATGTTCAACTTTGATCTATTTTTAACACATGATTTCTAACATATTTTTGTTTACTTATTAGATGATGATGGACATGATGGTAGCACAGCAATTGGGATGGCGTCTTCAAGCAGTGATTCATCTGATGCTAGTGATGGTTAATGAAATGATGATGAAGTTGTATTTGATAGTTGTTTGAGTTTGAGACTTTGAGTGGTTTCCATGTTTAAGACTCTTGTTTAATGTTCAAACTCGTGTGATATTGCATCTATTTTGGAACAATGTGGTGGTTTGGAATTGAATTTTAGATCTTTCAGTACTGATGTTCTAGAATGGTTTAAGAGACTAATTTACTTGTGGTTTACTATGATTAAGAAGTGTCTACTATTACAGATGAATGTTTATTAGGTACCGGTTCTCAAACGGTTTTTAAACGGTCTAATGCCGGCTGGACCACTAATGACCGAGCCGTTCACGTTACCGGCTCATACTCCGGCTCGGCTTTGACAGCATTGCTTCCAAGTCATCCATGATGACGTTTACCGGGTCAGGCTGCACGAGGATATGTGGGAAGGAGGGGCTGTTCCTCCTAGCGCGTACGATCAGGGGCCGCCCAACGAGGCTGCATACAAGCCCCACCAGGTTCTTCGACAGTTAAAGGCTCATAGGC